GGAGCTGCTGCTCGTCAACATGCGCGGCAACCTGCAGATCGTGGTCCAGGTGGCGAAGGAGTTTGCCGAGCAGCTCGGCATGGACAACTGCGTGAAGCTCTTTGAGCAGTTCAAGTCCTTCGAGGGGCTCTTCTTCTTCCTCGGCGCGTACATGTCCACCAGCGAGGACCCCGAGATCCACTTCAAGTACGTGGAGGCGGCAGCCAAGACTGGGCAGATCAAGGAGGTGGAGCGGATCACGCGCGAGTCCAGTGTGTACGAGCCCGAGCGCATGAAGAACTTCCTCATGGAGGCCAAGCTGCCCGATGCGCGCCCGCTCATCAACGTCTGCGACCGCTTCAACTTCGTCCCGGACCTCACGCACTACCTGTACACCAACAACATGCTGCGCTACATCGAGGGCTATGTTCAGAAGGTGAATCCCAGCAACTCGGCGCTGGTGGTCGGGCAGCTGCTGGACGATGAGTGCGCGGAGGACTTCATCAAGAACCTGATTCTGTCAGTGCGCTCGCTGATCCCGGTCGAGCCGCTGGTGGAGGAGGTGGAGAAGCGGAACCGGCTGCGGCTGCTGACGCAGTTCCTGGAGCACCTTGTGAGCGAGGGCAGCCAGGACGTGCACGTGCACAACGCGCTGGGGAAGATCATCATCGACACCAACAACAACCCCGAGCACTTCCTCACCACCAACCCCTTCTACGACTCGCGTGTCGTCGGCAAGTACTGCGAGAAGAGGGACCCCACGCTGGCCGTGGTGGCGTACAAGCGCGGGCTGTGCGACGAGGAGCTCATTGCTGTCACCGCCAAGAACTCGCTCTTCAAGCTGCAGGCCAGGTGTGTGGCGGGAGAACCCGGGAGACAGAAGGAAAGGAGAGGTGGGGGGCGGGGTGGGGTGGCGTGGGGTAGGGTGGGAAAGAGTGTGATGGTAGTTGGGCTGACGATGGGCAAGGCGTGTGGTTTGAAGCTGGTTTCCACCCTATTGGTGAAAAATAATAGCTTTCAGGGGTGACAGTTAATCTTCTGACTTCGTGCCATCGTGGATTTGTGCCCATATTCTCTCTGCAGGTATGTTGTGGAGCGCATGGAGCCTGAGCTGTGGGCCATTGTCCTCACTCCCGAGAACGAGTACCGCCGCCAGCTCATCGACCAGGTACAGGCCCCCATCCCCCGTCACTCTCACACCCTCTCCTTATCCGTCGTTATACTGCGTCTCTTGGCTTTTGGGGGCAACCGTTCCTTTCTGACACTAGTCCCACTACTCTCCTCTCCCCCCCTGCTCCACTCCCGCTGCAGGTGGTGTCCACTGCTCTGCCTGAGAGCAAGAACCCCGACCAGGTGTCGGTGACTGTCAAGGCCTTCATGACAGCTGACCTCCCCCACGAGCTAATTGAGCTGCTGGAGAAGATCGTGCTGCAGAACTCGGCGTTCAGCGGCAACCCCAACCTGCAGAACCTGCTCATCCTCACGGCCATCAAGGCGGACAAGACGCGCGTCATGGACTATGTCAACCGCCTGGACAACTTTGACGGGCCGGCTGTCGGCGAGATCGCCGTGGGCAGCGAGCTCTACGAGGAGGCCTTCGCCATTTTCAAGAAATTCAACTTGAACGTGCCAGCCGTGAACGTGCTGCTGGACAACATCAACAGCATTCCCCGCGCGGTGGAGTTTGCCAACCGTGTGGAGGAGCCCGAGGTGTGGTCGCAGGTGGGCAAGGCGCAGCTGCGGGAGGACCTCCTCTCCGACGCCATTGCCTCCTTCATCCGCGCCGGCGACGGCTCCCAGTTCCACGAGGTGATTCGCGCATCCGAGCGCGTGGACGCGTATGCGGATCTGGTCGAGTACCTCCTCATGGTGCGCAAGACAGTGAAGGACCCCAAGGTGGACCAGGAGCTCGTGTACGCGTACGCCAAGATCGACAAGCTCGACGCGATCGAGGAGTTCATCGCTCTGCCCAACGTCGCGAACCTGCAGAGCGTGGGCGACCGGCTGTTCGACGAGGAGCTGTATGAAGCCGCGCGGATCATCTTCCAGCACATTTCCAACTGGGGCCGCCTCGCCAGCACGCTCGTGAAGCTGCAGCAGTTCCAGGCGGCGGTGGACGCGGCACGCAAGGCCAACAGCGCTCGGGTCTGGAAGGAGGTGTGCTTTGCGTGCGTGGACGCGGAGGAGTTCCGCCTGGCGCAGATCTGCGGGCTCAACATCATCGTGCAGGTGGACGACATGGAGGAGGTCAGCGACTACTACCAGAACCGCGGGCGCTTCGACGAGGTCATGTCGCTCATGGAGAGCGGGCTGGGGCTGGAGCGCGCGCACATGGGGATCTTCACCGAGCTGGGGAGCTTGTATGCGCGCTACCGCCCTGAGAAGCTGATGGAGCACCTGAAGCTGTTTTCGACGAGGATTAACATCCCGAAGCTGATCCGCGTGTGCGACGAGCAGCAGCACTGGAAGGAGCTCACGTTCCTGTACATCACGTATGACGAGTTTGACAACGCGTCCACCACCATCATGAGCCACTCGCCGGAGGCCTGGGAACATGCGCAGGTTCGTCCCCTCCCGTCCCTGTACCTTTGGACGTTGCTTGCCTTTTTCTCCCCTGGTACGTTTCTTTGCCTTATGTGCTGTTCTCTGTGGCCAACTGTGTTAATGCGCGTGTGCTGGCGCTGCTGTACGGTCCTGTCAGTTCTCCCGGGTTCATCCACCCCCCCCCCTCTTCCCCCTCCCCCTCATTGCAGTTCAAGGACGTGGTGGTGAAGGTGGCGAATCTGGAGATATACTACCGCGCCATCCTCTTCTACCTGCAAGAGCACCCCGACCTCATCAACGACCTCCTCACTGTGCTCGCGCCCCGCGTCGACCACACCCGTGTCGTCGACCTCATGCGCAAGGTACCAACCATTGACATGAATCTTACTGTCCCCTCATAATCTCCATCAGCTTTCCCAATTCCACTGCCCCTCTCTTCTTACACGCTCTGTTCTCCCTGTCCGCTTCCCTTTTAGCCTCCCCTGCTTGCTTCCCCTGTCCCCTTCCCTACCCGTCCCCCCCTCCCCTTCCTGCCGGTGGTGAATCCGTACCTTGTGATGATGCATAGTGTAGAACCTTACCCTATCTTTCCTGCCCCCCACTTGCCCCACCACAGTCGGGCAACCTGCCGCTGGTAAAGCCTTACCTGGTGACGGTGCAGAGTGTGAACGTGGCGGCCGTGAACGAGGCGCTGAACAACCTGTACATCGAAGAGGAGGACTACGACCGCCTGCGCGAGTCCATCGACATGCACGACAACTTTGACCAGATCTCCCTCGCCCAGAGGGTAAGTAACTGCTCCTTCCCAATTCCGCCTGCTCCGTGCCACTCTGACAGCGCCTGTAGTCCCGTCCCCCTTTTCCTGCCCATCCCTCTCTCTCCCCTCATCTGCCGCTCCCTGTCTCTGCTATCCCTGGTTCTTTGCCACTGTGCTCAACCCCTCCTTCCCCCCTCTCCTATCCTCACCAGATCGAGAAGCACGAGCTGCTGGAGTTCCGCCGCATTGCGGCGTTCATCTACAAGATGTGTGGGCGCTGGCGGCAGTCCCTGGCGCTGTCCAAGTCGGACAAGCTGTACAAGGACGCCATGGAGACCGCCAGCCAGTCGGGCGACCGGGAGCTCGCAGAGGAGCTGCTCAACTACTTCCTCGAGGAGGTGAGCGCCCACTCCACTCTTCGAGAATCCGCTGTTCACTCCCCTCTTTGAGAACCCGCTGCTCACTCCAGTCTTTGAGAGCCCAGTGCTCTAGGTTCGGTTCCTCGGCTCCACGTCTCGTGCAGCAACCCCACCCTCTCCTCTCTCCTAGCCAATCCTCGCCCTCCCCACCCTTCCCCCACTCCCGCCTTTTCCCACCCACCCAAGCAACCTTTTCCATTTGTCCCCAACCCTGAGGGTCTTACTATTGTTCCCTCGCCATGGGCTACTTCTGTGTGTGTGGACGTGCGTGCGTGTGTTTGCTTTGGAGTGTGTGCGTGCGTGCGTGTTTGGGGGTTTTGCCTGCTCTCCAGGACAAGAAGGAGTGCTTTGCGTCGTGCCTGTACACGTGCTACGACCTGCTGCGCCCAGACGTGGTGGTGGAGCTCGCATGGCTCAACAACATGCAGGACTACGTCATGCCCTACCTCATCCAGGTATGAGTTCAATGATGCTGGAAACACTGTGTCAAGCACTCATTGCTTTTCTTAACACCAACATGATGTCTGTTTTTTGCATCACCCTGCTTCACATGCACCTTCCCCCCTCCACCACCCTCCCCCTGTTGTTCCTCCCCCTGCCTTCCTCTCTCTTTTGATCCATGGCCTCCCTGCCTTGTGTCCTATATGCCCTGTGTTGCGCCGCAGTTTGTGCGGGAGTATTCGACCAAGGTGGACGAGCTGATGAAGGACAAGGAGGCAGCCAAGAAGGAGGTCGAGAAGAAGGCCAAGGAGGAGAAGGAGGTCATTGCTCAAGCGGTGAGTAGCCCATCTATCCATGGGCCCCAGCCAGAAAACCACTCCTGGTTACGCTGTTCCCGGCTTTTTCTGCTCTCTGTCTCATGATATGCCTTCCGATGTGTTGTATGTCTCTGATGTTTGTGCTCTGGTGTTTGTGCTCTGGTGTGTGTGCCCTCTGTGCAGAACATGTACCAAACGCTCATGCCACTTGCCTTGCCAGCGCCTCCTATGCCCGGTGGGGGCATGGATGGTGGTGCGTTCGGTGGTGCCCCTCCCATGCCAGCCTATGGCATGCCGCCCATGTACTGAGTGGGCCAACTTGATGTGGACTGAAGTGAATCCCAAGCTTGCAATATACTGCTTTGTGCCCTTAGAGGTTATTGCTACATGAGGCATAGACTCCAGGCCACCAGGATATGCTTACTGCTGTACAACCGCCAGTCTCCAGTTTATCAGACATGCTGGTACTTTCTGACTCAATTCGAAGGATCAATGCCAAGGCTTGCAGCACTAAGGTTGTGGTGCGTGCACTACATGCCAGCAATGCCATGTTATGGAGACATTAGGATGCAAGGTAAAGTGATCCCAAACCCAATGTGCCATAATGTGATGCCCAAGCCCTTCTAACCAGCCTACTGAAGGAACCCAACTGAATTGCATCAAAGCTTGACGTCCCATGATTCATGCACCCCCTTATACTTGAAACACAGCATAGCCTGCCAGTTCCCTCCCCTCTGTCTCCACTGGCATGTGCACTCTGCTCCAGCTGTATCTCAGCCCACTTGCAGACCTACATCTGGCAACCCGTCTCAACCCCAAACTTGTGTCATCAACACCCCTCCTGCTGCCTAACAAACCCTCTCCTACCCTTCCCTCAGCTGCCTCCTCAGGGAACTCCAAAAAGCTCGCATTCGCCTTCACCTTCCCCGTCATCCATAGCCACTTCTCCTGCCACGTGTCAATCACACACAGCTTCCCGTCCAGGGACACGAGGAAGTAGCACTGGCGGAAGGTTCCGGCCCACCTGTGGCGAGAGGGCAGCTGCACGGCTCGCTCCCACTGCTTCATCTCCAGGTTATACTCGTGTATGAAGTTGTGATCCAGCGTGTAAAACCGCCCGTAACATGTAACCACGTTCGACACTTCAAACCCTCCACCCCCGCCACCAAACCCCCGCCCACCCGCCGTAGGATCAGCTTCAGCAGCAGCACCCGCAACTCCCCTTTCTCCCCCCCCGTCAGCTCCCCTTCCCCTTTCCCCCTCTCCTCTTCCCACTTCCCCCCCTCTCCCGTCGCCTCCTCCTTGTCCCCCTACCGCACCCACTGCTTCTCCCTCACCTCCCTCGCGTCCCCCAACTCCCCCTCCGCGAGCCTCCTCTTCCCCCCCTCCGGCGCCCGCGCGCGTGATGCCGAGCATGGCGAGGTTGCTGTTCTTAATTAAAGCCCACTCGTCGCGCGTGAACACGAACACCTTGTGGCGGAACGCGCGGCAGTGGAAGCTGCGCACCTTGCACTTGGTATGCCGGTACTCCGACGAAAGCGGCGCCCATTTCCGCGAAGCCTCGTCGAGGATTTTAAGAACGAGCCGCCCGTGCGCCTTGTCGAGGAACGAGACGCACAGGAGCTCTTCTAGAATCCCCTCGCGCTGCCGGATGTTGTAGATCGTCCCGCCGCGAAACGCGTCGCGCCATGATTTGCAGACGAGCCCGAGGGGGAGGCGGCGCATGTAGGGGACGCGCGCGAGGCAGCGGATGGCGATCTCGTTGGGGAGGCCCGGGATGAGGAGGCGGTCGTCGATGGCGGACTCCGGAAACGCGTGCGCCGCGTCGTCCTGCGTTGTTATGACGACGATGCTCGCCATGTGGCACGGTGCGGTGATGGCGGCGGAGAGTTGGTTTTTGAGAATTCGGTTTCTGAGGCGCCAGAAAAGCTGAAGGATTGCTGTTTTTTGAGAATTCTCAAAGAGGAAATCTGGCACGGTGGGGTGATGACGGCGGAGAGACGCTGCCAGAAAGGTGGGTAGAGCTTTTGAGTCGAAACAAGCGTCGAGTCCCCTCGCTCGCTGTGGGAAAGATGGATGGTAGTAGTACCTAAGGGGTTGATGCGGAGTGCTGGAAATCACTCCATGCGAAACGACTTTGGATTACTTATGTGACGCGCGACCCGATCACCGAAGAGCGAAGAACCGGGAGAGCCGATGTTATACTACACCGAAGCACGCAGCTAGGCAACAAGTAGCGCACAGCGCACTAGATTCACTACAAGAAAGGAGAGAGCAAAACACATGTTTGGCTCAGCGCACGCACACGGGGTTGCTGTGTGGGACGGTGGGGTGGGTTGACTCGAGCAAGCACGAAGCATGGTGAGGAGCTGGACGCGTGCGCTGGCGTCGACGGTCAGGAGAGACGGGTGGAGTGGGGTGAGGAGGGGAAGGAGGGAGAGCAAATGGCAGACGAGGTGGTAGGGAATGGGAGGGAATGGGAGGGATTATAAGGGATTGGAAGGGATTGGAGAGGTTTGGAGGGGATTGGAGGGGAGCCATAGCCGAGAGGAACATTGATTCGTTTTGGGACGTCCCAAAGAGGTCGAGTGCGATGTTATGCGTTACCAAAAAGGTCGAGACGTCAAATGCCCCCCCCCACGAGTACAGCACACACGCAGTCGAGGGTTTCGGTTTGTCACAGTCCTGTACATTCAAAGCCAGAAATGACTGGCCAATGGAAAACGAGATGAGCAGCGCATCGGTATGCGAATGACCGTTTCCCGTTGAGGGCATGCGTGCGTACACCGCATCACTGTACACTGTAGGGTTCACAAAATCTCAAGAGGAGAACACATGAGCATACCGTACCGTACCGCATCGTATCCAGTTTTGACCACTTTTTTACCCGGCAGCCCAAAGTCTGCCTCCCGGGATTGCCATCGTCATTTTGAGTTGAGACTCCGTCAAAGCGACCAGCAGCAGCCTGAGATCATTGTTCCCGCTCGACTTCAGCTATGTCCCGCGCGTCGGTTGGATCAGAGCTGCTCTCACAGCCGCGTTTGCGGCTCACGCGGCAATAAGATAGACCCCTTGCAGCTCCAAGGATCGCGTCACAGCCTTTTTTTTAAATATTATTATCATTACCCCATCTTGAGAGGTGATGGGTCCGCAGCATTCTACGGATCGCCAAAACGCCGCTTCTGCGCCGCGATTACTCGGCAGACTCGCGTCATCTAAAAGCGGCGCCAGCGCCGGGCGCCGGCGAGGCAGCGCGGAGTGGCGGAAGGGCGGAAGAAACGACAAGAGCAATGATGGCGCAGGCGATAAGCGCGAGAGCAACGCGAAGCAGCCGGCCGGCGGAAGCAGCGGGGTTCCAAGCGGCAGCGTTCCAATAAGCGGAGAATCGAACAGCGGGATACCTACTAGCGGTACAACAGGCAGTGCAGCGGCGGCGGCGGCGGGGGCGGCGGCGGAGGCGGCGGCGGATCAGAAAGCGACCGAGGGGAGGGCGGGACACCGGAAATGGGGGAGTCGATCCCGAAGCCGTAGCGTGAGCGCGGGGAACAGCGACGAGCTGCGATTGGACGACAATGTGCGTGTATCGAGGGCCGCGGAAAATCCGCGGCATAGTTCTGATGCCGTGATGGTACCGCGATCCGCGAGCTCCGAGAAACGCGCCGGGAGAGGCGGAACGCCATTGGCTGCCGTTGCGGCTAGTGGTGGGGGAAGCGGAAAAGGCGGAGTAGGGGGAGGAGGAGGCGGAGTTCGCCGCGCGGCTTCTGGCGGAGCGGAAAGCTCCAGCGCAGCAGTTTCTTCCGCCGTGGCGGAAAACAGGGGGGAGAGCGCCGCTCCGGGAGCTTCGGCGCGCGAAGCGGAAGGGGGGTACAGTGGCAATTTGGGGGGAGCGGGAAGACCAAGAAGCGGAGGATCGGCGGAAGAAGGGCGGAGCCCGAGAAGCGCAGCTGCTGGGGTAGTTGGGGGAAGAAAGGGAAGCGGCAGCGGAGGGTTGGCGGAACGCGTGATTGGCGGGTTGGGTTCCGCTGTAGGATTGCAGAGAGAAGGGGACGGAGGTCCGCGCTCTGATACAAGCGCACGCGATAGTGGCAGCCAGCCTTTGAGTCACGCGCAGAAGCATCAGCAGCGGCAGCGGAAGCAGCAGCAGCTGGTGTCGCAGAAGGAGCTGCGCGCGGCGCAGAAGGAGCAGCGCCTGCAGCAGAGACAGGCGCGCGCGCTGCAGCGCAAGCACGCGGGTTCACAGACGGGCGCGCACCAGCGCTCCGCCAGCGGGGGCATGCCCAGCAGCAGAAGCGGGGGAGGAGGGAGGGGAGCGGCGCAGCAACATGCAGGGGGACGAGGCGGAGGGAGGGGAGGGGCGGGGGAGGGGGAGGGGAAGGGGCGAGACGAAAGTGACGGATAAGGTTCTGTGGCGGTTTGAAGTGAAACCGGTGGCTGGCAGCCCCGTTTCCACGCCGTCCCCGTCCAAACAGACCCACGCCCAAGCTGCAGGGTCCCTCCCTGGCACACCGGGCAGAGCTCCTGGCCTATCAGGAGACGGCAGGGGCGGCGGGGGCGGCGTAGGAGGAGCAGCAGCCGCAGCAGGCGCAGCGGAAGGGGCAGGAGGAGGAGGGAGCTCGCTTTCGGGTCAGCGAACCTTCAGTGGGGTGTCTGCCTCGTCGTATGTGGGCTTCCCCCCCTCCGCCTCTGCCCCCGGCCCTGCCTTCGGTGGCAGCTACAGCGGCACACTCAGCGATCCCGGCGGGCCGGGTTACGGCGGTTACCACCACCGCCCGACGCCATCCGACAGCAGCATCGACAGCTGGCAGGGCGGCGGCGGGGGAGGCGGGTTGATATATGGCTTTGCTGCGGCTGCTCCGGGGGGCGGATTTGGCTATGCTGCTGCTGGCGGTGGCGGTGGCGGTGCAGGGTACAGCCTCCCCCCCCCGTCGCCCCATGCGCTCTCCACCCTGTCAGGCACCCGTTCTGGCAACCTGTCTGGGAACTTCTCAGGGGCGCTCTCCGACGCTGGCAGTAGCCCCCTGGGGTCGGCGCCTCGTGGGGGGTTTGCTGCTGGGCCTGTGGCAGCAGGGGGGTTAGGCGCGGCAGCGAGGGGGGCAGGGCAAGGGAGTGAGGGTGGCGGCAGTCTGCTGAGGCTGGGACCCGGTGAGCTCATGGCCGCCCTGCTGCAGCAGCCAGGGATGCTACAACCCAGCCTGCTACATCCCAGTTCACTCCAGCCGAATCAGCTGCAGCCAAGCCTGCTACAACCGAGTCTGCTACAACCAAGTTTGCTACAACCAAGCCTGCTACAACCGAGTTTGCTACAACCCAGCCTGCTACAGGCGTTGCAGCCTGGGCCTGGCACTGTACCCGCTTCCACTACTGGCCCACCAGCTGCACCTAGCACTGCTCTTGCCGAACCTGCTCTGCCTTCTTGGGACGCTGCCGGGCCTGGAGGCTCGGAAACGGGCACGTATGGGTACCTGGACGGAGGTGGGGGGGAGGAGGATAGGGACGAGGGAGATGCTGACGTGGATTCTGTTGGTGATGACAGGGACGATGAGTCACAGGATGAGGGCACTGAGTCAGAAATAGACGGAGAGAGAGTGGCAGGGTTCAGGGCTATGATTAGGGCAAAGGCAGGCTTAGGTTCGGCATGGGGCTTGGGCTCCAAGCCTAGATCCAGCCTGCTACTAGCTGCCGAGCCTCTTGCAGAGACTAAGTTAAAGCCAGGTTCAGAAGTAGGATTTGCCGCTGCAGCAGGGTCAGAGGGATTAGGGTTAGGTTTAGGGCACAGGTACGGCCGTGCCGAGCCTCTTGCGTGTGGCACCTTACCTGCCATGTTTCCGCCGATCCGCCCATCCAGGCTGGGGATTTGTCCTGGGCGGCAGCTTGGGGAGGTGGTTGTGTTTCAGGTGGCGAATCGGGGGGAGAAGGGGGGAGGAGGGGGGAGAAAAGGGAGGGAGGGGAGGAAGGGAGGGGAGGAGGAAGGGGAGGACGGAGGATCGGATGGAGGGTGGGAGGAAGATGAGGAGGAGGAGGATGACGATGATGACGTGTATGCGGAGGACGAGATTGACAACGAGGCGCTGGTGGAAGCTATTGAGGATGGGCTCATGGCGTTCAGACAGGACAAGGTGACGCTTGATCGTTCGGTCGAAGGGAGGTCAAGATTTCGTGTTGTTGCAGAAACATCGGCAGTGGGCTGCTGAATGTCTGATCATTCAATCCGTTCGTGCTGAATGTCCGATCATTCAATCCGTTCGTGCTGAGTGTCCGATCATTCAATCCGTTCGTGCTGAATGTCTGATCATTCAATCCGTTCGTGCTGAATGTCTGATCATTCAATCCGTTCGTGCTGAATGTCTGATCATTCAATCCGTTCGTGCTGAATGTCTGATCATTCAATCCGTTCGTGCTGAATGCCTGATCATTCAATCCGTTCGTGCTGAATGCCTGATCATTCAATCCGTTCGTGCTGAATGTCTGATCATTCAATCCGTTCGTGCTGAATGTCTGATCATTCAATCCGTTCGTGCTGAATGCCTGATCATTCAATCCGTTCGTGCTGAATGCCTGATCATTCAATCCGTTCGTGCTGAATGTCTGATCATTCAATCCGTTCGTGCTGAATGTCTGATCATTCAATCCGTTCGTGCTGAATGTCTGATCATTCAATCCGTTCGTGCTGAATGTCCGATCATTCAATCCGTTCGTGCTGAATGTCTGATCATTCAATCCGTTCGTGCTGAATTTCTGATAATTCAATCCGTTCGTGCTGAATGTCTGATCATTCAATCCGTTCGTGCTGAATGTCTGATCATTCAATCCGTTCGTGCTGAATGTCTGATCATTCAATCCGTTCGTGCTGAATGTCTGATCATTCAATCCGTTCGTGCTGAATGCCTGATCATTCAATCCGTTCGTGCTGAATGCCTGATCATTCAATCCGTTCGTGCCGAGTGTCCGATCATTCAATCCGTTCGTCCCGGCTCGTTTGACGCTGTTGCTGCCCCTCTTTCCCTGCTGCCCTCGTTCCCTGCTGCCCCTCTTTCCCTGCTGCCCTCGTTCCCTGCTGCCCCTCTTTCCCTGCTGCCCCTCTTTCCCTGCTGCCCCTCTTTCCCTGCTGCCCTCGTTCCCTGCTGCCCCTCTTTCCCTGCTGCCCCGCTCCTCTCATGCCACTGCAGACGGAGAATGCGAGTGAGAGCTGCGGCGCGCTGCTGGACTCTCTTCTGGACATCTGCGAGTCCACCTTCGGCTTCATCGCCTCCAACTTCCGCATGCCCGATGGCGCGCCCTGCCTCAAGGTGGGTCGTGTCGTGTGTATCGCAGATGGCATGCCTCAAGGTGCGCCCTGCCTCAAGGTGCGCCGTGCCTCAAGGTGTGTCATCACGCAAGGTCCAGTGCCCGTGCCCCCCCCTGTTTCGATGTATGCCATGTCCTGATAATATGTGGTTCTGTTTAAGGTATCCCGTGTTTCATGATACTTTCTCTGTCCCCCCCTCTTTTCTCTGTCCCCCCCACTTTTCTCTGTCCCCCCCCCCCTTTTCTCTGTCCCCCCCCCTTTTCTCTGTTCCCCCCCTTTTCTCTGTCCCCCCCCCTTTTCTCTGCCCCCCCCCCTCCCCCGCCCCTTCCCGCCCCTCCCAACCTTCTCCGACCCGTCTGCTTTTCCCCCCATTCTCTTTCGCCCCCCCTCTCTCTGTGCATATCCCTCCTTCCCCCCGGGCCCCCCCCTCTCCCCCCACTCCTCCCCACGGCCCTCCCCCCTCCCTAATCCCCATCCCGCATCGCCATCCACAGACCCATGCCATAACAAACATCCTCTGGACCGACAAGCTACGGGCGTGGTTCGCCGCCCACGCGGCGGCGGGTCTTGTCTTCACAGATGTGGCTGAGACAGGCCTCTTCGGCCGGGCGGCGCTGGGCGGCGAGGCGGTGTGGAGCGACGATCCGCCGGCTGACAGCCTGCCCAAGGGCCATCCACGTGTCAACACTGCATTCGCCATGCCGCTCATCTGCGGTGGGTGGGGGGCTTGCTTGCTTGCTCGCCTGCTTGCTCTACTGCTTGCTCGCGTGCTTGCTCGCCTGCTTGCTCGCTTGCTTGCTCGCCTGCTTGCTCGCTTGCTTGCTTGCTTGCTCGCTCGCTCGCTTGCTCGCGCACTTGCTTGCTCGCTTGCTTTCTCGCTTGCTTGCTGGCTTGCTTGCTCGCTTGCTTGCTCGCTCGCTTGCTCGCTTGCTTGCTCGCTCGCTTGCTCGCTCGCTTGCTTGCTCGCTTGCGAATCCTTGCCTGCCTTCATGTGCTTTTTTCTTTCTTTTTTTTCACTGGATTCCCTCTGGTCTTGCACGAATAGGTGTGCCCCCCCCCCTGACACCCTTTTTTCGCCCATCCATCCCGCCCTGTTCTCCCAGGCACCTCTATCGTGGGGGTGGCGGTGGTGGCGAACCGCATCGGTGGGTACAGCGAGGGGCTGCTGAGGGCCGTGCAGCCGCTGCTGTCGCTCGTTGCGGCGGTGCTCTTCTGCGTGCACTGGCGCAACGATGGGGGGAGAGATATAAGGAGACGACTGGTCAGCATTGCAGAGGTGAGGGAGGGGGGCTGTATGGTGAGCTGCTGCTTCAGAAGTGTCTTCACTGGTCATTCGTTGCTGCGGTGCTCATCTAGTTTGAGGCGCCTCAAAACCGCGTGATAGGAGTCTAGTTTTGAGGCGCTGCAAAACTGGTCATTCGTTGCGGCGGTGCTCCTCTCTGCACTGGTGCAACGATGGGGGGAGGGACCTGAGGAAGCGGGTAGTCAACTTTGCAGAGGTGAGAGAGGAGGGCTGTATGCATGAGCCACCACCGCACTAGTGCTCTGTATTTAGCTGCTGCCGTGCTCTTGCACCTGCACTGCACTGGTGCAACGATGGGGGGAGGAACCCGAGGAGGCGAGTAGTCAACATTGCAGAGGTGAGAGGGAGGGAGGAAGAAAAGGTTTGACCCTGAAGGCTCACTTCTGTGATGATGCCCGTCAACTCTAGTTTAACGGCCCTACACAGCTCCCTGTGGGTATGATCTTGTGTGCATGTGACCTGGACTGACTGCAACAGGACGGGCACATAGCGGTGGACAGCAGAGGCCACAGCACGAGCATGGATGCTGCAGGCTGTGCTGCGCTATGTTCGACATCAGCCCCCTCACTGCTGCCCTCATTGGGTATCCCCATGTGCGTTTGACCTTGTGTGTGCAACAGGACGGGCACATAGTGGTGGATGGTGCAGGGCGCATCACAAGCATGGATGCTGCTGCCTGTGCCATCTTCGGCATCAACCCCCTCACTGCCGCCCTCATGGCTGCTGCTCCTGCCACATCAGCAACGGATCCTGCCAGCCAAGCAGAGGGAGCAGCTGATTCCGCAGAGGGAAAGGAAGCAGAAGAAGCAGCAGCAGCACCACCTGCAACAGCGCCTGCTGCAGGGTGTCCGCCCCTTGGCCAGCTGTCAGTTGCTGATTTGATTACTCGGATCGGGGACCAACCAGTCACTGCAGACGTTGACGTGGCAGGTAGGGTAAATGCCCCGTTTTTAGGAAAGCGCTCCCTTGAGTCACCTGAGACCCTCCTGAGCCCTTACACCTTAGAATTTAGCTTTATCCTTTTCTACTTCTGCAGTCACATTTCCTTCCGTCGCTTGCTCTCTTATCTTCATTTGCCCACAACTGTGCTCTTCCTCCTACCCATCTTCCTCCCCTCTATCTCTTCCACGCCCTCACCAGCCATGGCTAAGCAGCTGCAGACGCCCCATCCGGCAGTGGGCAAGCAGCAGGGGGTAGCCACATTCAATGTCCTTCCCTCGTACATAACCTTGTATCACTTCCACATTTATCCTCCTACCCACCCCCCTCTCTTTCCCTCCCCCCCACCAGCCATGGCACAGCAGGTGCGGACGCCCCATCCAGCCGGGGGGAGCCCACATTCTGCTGCAGATCGACCCTTGCCCTCTCCTTTCCTCCACATGTGCAATGCGTTAAATCCCTTCTCCATTTGTTTCCCCGCCGCCATTTGTTTCCCCGCCGCCATTTGTTTCCCCGCCCCCTTTGTTTCCCCGCCCCCCTTTGTTTCCCCTGCCCCACCGACTCACCATCAGCCATGGCACAGCAGCTGCGGACGCCCCATCCAGCAGGGGCCACACAGCAGGGGAATCACCCGTTCTGTTGCTGATCCCCCTCTGCCCCTTCCTTTCCCCCTCTCGTACATTATCTTGCATCCCTCACCCATTTGTTCTCTCCCCACCCCCATCCACCCACCCCCACCAGCCATGGCCCAGCAGCTGCGGATGCCCCATCCAGCAGTGGGCAAGCAGCAGGGGGGAGCCCACATACTGCTGCAGATCGCCCTTTCCCCTCCTAGTGCTGGTGCTTCTGCTGGTGGCAGCAGCAGCAGCAGCAGTGAGAGTGCAGTGCACAGAGCAGTGGTGCGGCTGTTGGCTCGCTCGGATTGATGTTACGACAGAGTACGCTAATTCTTGGTGCAGTGTATGTTCCTGCAATACCAAATAGCATACATAATATGCCCTTCTAAAGAGGGTGTTGAAATTATATTTCATATATATAATTATAGGCTTTGTAGGGCTTGCTGGATCTTACTGTAGAGGGTACAACTCCCTCTTTGTATCCCTCTCTCTTCTAATCCCAATCTCTTCTCTCTCGACAATCCCTCCTAGCTAAACCCTCTCACGCCATTCCAGGGCTCATTCCCTAGCCTAGCTTGTTTATCATGGTTTCAGAGCCGGAGGTCCGCCCTGCTGGGCTGCCTCCTCACGTTTCCGCCGCGTACCCCCCCACTTCTTGTTACTTCCGCGCAGCCGTGGCGGCCGTGTCGTGCTGCCATGGCGGCGTTGTCGCGCTGCCGTGGCAGCCTCGACGTGGCGGCTGCGTCGTGCCGCCGTCGTCGCGTCAGCGCACAGGCGGCGGTGGGCTGCACACTGGTTTAGGCACCAGGCAGCAAGCCCGCACTCCAGCTCGCCGCGCCTCCCCAGCTCGTCGTGTCGGACCCTGCTCGCCGCGTCGGCCCCAGCTCGCAGCGTCGGTCCCAGCTCGCCACGCCAGCTGGCTCCGCCACGCCGCAGCTCAAGAAGGCCTAGCGCCTTCCTTCCCTGCAGTCACCTCTGCTGCAGGGTATGGGGGTGCTTAAAGGTGTTGCATGTGGGGTGGGCTTGTGACTACCAAGCCTAGGGGGTGTGTTGAAATTATATTTTATATATATAATTGTAGGCTTGGTAGGTCTCGCTGGATCCTACTGTAGAGTGTACAACTCCCTCCTTGTATCCCTCTCTCTTCTAATCCCAATCTCTTCTCTCTCGACAATCCCTCCTAGCTAAACCCTCTCACGCCATTCCATGGCTCATTCCCTAGACTAGCTTGTTTAATAGAGGGGCCCTAGCTGCACCAGTGATCATGGGTGTACAACGGATACAAAAAACTTGACTTCGTGAATGGCTTTGGCATTGAAGGAGGCAGGAGGACTCTCCATATGATATGGGTGTGCAGCAGCATTAGTGGTAGGTACCCGTTACAAGCTCTCCAATGAAAGGACGGAAATGTTCCTTCTTTCTCATGAACCTGTTAAATCATATATATATTATTATATATATGTTTGTTAGGCTTGATCGGTGTGTGACATTGCTGAATCCTACTGTATAGGGGACAACCCCCCTTCTTGTATCTCCTTCTCTTTCTTAGTGCATCTTTTTCTCTCGTCAACTTTCTGCCCCCTAGCTAAACCTCTCGCTAGTCCTATGCCTAGTTCCTAGCCCTATCTTAACATGGTATCAGAGCAGGCCCTTCCGCTAGAGCCTTCTCCTCGCGCTTCCGCAGCATCCTCTCCTCCCTTCCGCGCCACTGTGGCAGCCATGTTGTGCTGCCATGGCGGCTTCATCGTGCTGCTGTGGCAGCGTCGACGTGCTGCCGCGGCAGCGACGCCGCGCCGTGGCGGCGTCATCGAGCTGCCGTGGCGTCGTCGACGGGCGGCAGCGGGCCGCGCAATGTTTTAGCTCTGGCCAGCTCGCCCGCACGCCAGCCAGCGCCGCGCCGCCATGGCGCCTCGCTGCAGCTTCAGCCCCCCTCCTCTGCATTTCCCTTTCCCCCCGTCGCATCCGATGTCTGTCCCGCGCCGTGCGGCCCTGTCGTTGCTGAGCTGGGCCACGTCGCCGGGTGCCGCGGTCTCCGTCGCCGCCGCCGCCGTCGTCGAAGCCGCCCTAGCCGTCGTCGAAGCCGCCGCCGCCGTCGTCGAAGCTGCCGCCGATGCCGCAGGTGCCGCTGGCTCCGCCGTCGCAGCCGCCGCTGTCGTCGTACCGTCGTCGCCGCCGCCACTGACGTCGCCGCCTTGCACGTCGAGAGGTCGACCGGGCTGGCGACGCCACAGCTGCGCAGGGCATGGGGGGTGCAAGGGTTTGGGGGAGCTGTGTGTGGGGGTGGGCTTGCCACTACCAAGCCTAGGGGGCGACATTGTATACATTTTATATATGTTTGATAGGCTTGGTAGGTGTGCGATATTGCTGAATTCTACAGTAGAGGGGATAACCCCCCCTTCTTGTATCTCCTTCTCTTTCTTAGTGCATCTCTTTCTCTCGTCAACTTTCTGCCCCCTAGCTAAACCTCTCGCTAGTCCTATGCCTAGTTCCTAGCCCTATCTTAACAATGTAGGCCATGAGGATAAACAGCACCCTATAGCATAAAATTTGGAACCTTCCACAACCTTCGTAAGGAATTACCATTCCTCACTGAGGCTCGCCACAGCGAGTACACGCGAACAGTTCGCGTCCGCAGGCTCGGCCCTCAAGTCACGCGCCAAACCAGCCCCCGTCGACCTCTTCGGCCCCAACCTCATCCTGAGTCGCCCTGAACCCACTTTGAACCCGTCACCCTCAGGACTATCGAGCCCTTGACTGGTCCAACCCTCGACATTCAACTTGGTCAACTCGCACTATATAAGCCCTATGCCTCATTTCTATCAGAACGCTGCAATCACATTCCCCTTATAGTATTCTGCGCTATACTCTGAGTTGTAATTCATAACAGCTGGTATCAGAGTTGCGTTCCTGCCCATTAGGTTTCGGGTGGGGGAGCAGATCCTATCGGGGAAGGGGGCGGAAGGATGCTGATGGCGAGCGGACGACGCGGAAATTAATTGCGCGGGTGTCTCCGATGCCGTTAGATCCTGTCAGATGGACGGCTGGGATTAACCAGTCCTACCCTTCCACGGTCATAGACAGAATTATTTCCCATCGAAGAGAGGGCGACGTTTTCGCCGTGTTTTTCGGGTATGTTCGTTAGAGCTTTTGTTATTTTCGGGAGTTTCTAATGAAGTGTTCGGATTGGCTTCCGAAAATAGCGAGTCGTCGAGCGGCTGGGTTTCGGTCGTCAGGAGACGACAAGTGCACGGGAGTCCTCGGGCGACCGGGAGTTGGCCGTCAGGAGGGCGCGGGGTAGCGAAATTGGGGGGACGTACGGCGAAGTACGTCAGGCACGCCATGCAGCGGCAGGGTGAACTGTAGCTGTATCGTGGGTCCCGGCGTTTCCGGCAGGCTAGTTGCAGTCGATGGACATTACTACAAGACTGTTTTCGGCAACGGGCAGATCCGACAATTTCGGAACGACACGATCGCACGAGGACGGGTGGGTGTGTAGTTGTGTGGGAGCGCTATACACCACGACGGCCATCTGGAGGTGATGACGCTGTGCTGGAGTGAGTGTACTCAGCGAGGGCGACTTTCCGTATGGGGAGGCGTTTTTCATGGACCAGCGATTCATACCCCCACGATCAACAGAAACGGAGACCACCACCCTTGGGTGTGTATTAAGTGTTCTTCCACCGATCGCTGAAAGCGCTACCTGCCAGGAACTGAAGCAGTGGAAGAAGAACGACGGGAGTACTAGAGCAATTAAGGGTTAGCGGCGTTCGGGCTGCTGCTCGCTCAGCTACGTCGCCCGAATATCACCATCCCCACTAGGTAGCAGTGTCGACTTATTAATCGACGGATCTTGGCTGAATCAGGGAGGTGAACCCGCGAACTACACTGTGCTGATGGATTGTCCCCGAAATTGAAGGCGTAAATGTTGCAGCGAAGTTGAAGGTTTCACCGAGCACAGCAGAAGGAGTTTCCGACTTTTGCGGATGTAGTTTGACGAGTTTCCAACGGAGGAGGGAGCTGTCCAGCGGTCAATAGGCGAGCTGTTTAAAGCTCCCCTGACTAGAAGCGTGCGCACTCCTATCTCTGCGGATTCTCTTAGTTCGTTAAGCAACAGCGAAACAGTTTTGGGTAACCTGTAGTAGCGGCGAGATGGGTGAACGTCTGCACGGCCAGCTGGACAGGGGTACCGGATAATGTTTAGAATTGGGTAACAGCTGGGCGGGGATCGATGGCGTATGATGCGCATTGACCCTGATCGACTGCCAAAACAACATGCCGAGGCGGTGGACTCCGGTGTTCCCTAATATAAAGGGTTCAGTTCATGCGTACAGCTGGTGGAGAAATCATGGGGGCGCTGCTTAAGGACGCCGTGACACCTGAGTGTTTTATGGGTAGCTGTGACGCGGAGTTACGGTATCTGCAAAGTACCGTGTGGTTCCGACATTTTCGCTAGAGCAGTTCAAGGTTTTACAGCTGGAGTTGTGCCCGCTATCAAATGGGGGTACGAGCAACATCGACCGAATTTTGCGGAGTATTCTGGGTATATGGAGCGGAGGGAGAGAAGTAGCTGTTTTGTCTCTTCCCGAATATTTCGGCGTGTACGGACAAAGAAGCTGATGCAGCTGGCGTCATTCGACCCTGGGTTTCGTTCGAGGTTTTCTACCAGAGTGGTTCAGTACAGGTTATAGGTCATCGCCATCGTCATCTTCCTCACGTCACTACCTGCTACCGCAAAAATCTTCAATTCGCCTGATTCGCCCAACAGTGTGAACACGACCCCACCGCATCATCGCCACCATCAAGAGCAGTATCGAAACGAAAATATTTTGCAACAGTACTGTTGGAGCTGTGCTGGGACCAGCTCGCAAGCGGTCTTCCTACTCGTGAAGAATTTTCAGTTCGTATGGGAGTCTTCCGGAGCAGTTTCTTCTAATTTTCAAGACCCTTGGCACAGTTTCTCATGAGCAAGAATTACTACTTTGGAGCGTATTTGGGAGTTCTAGCGGTTGGAGTTTTGCAGCGGCATCTTCGAAGCTGAGTATGAGACTTTTAAGCAGCAGCGTAGGATTCTTTCGACTACCTTGGAGCATTGGTTTTCCTGGAGTTTTACCTGGGTGGTTGGGAGCTGTTTCTTCTCGAAGGGGGGAGAAGTGTAGATGTGCTGCAATTTTTCGTATGACCCTTGCGGCGTGTTCCATCATCCATATTCGACCGCCATTCGTCGCCGTAACGCTTCCGCACATGATTTCGTTACTTCGTTTATGGAGTTTGCTGACTTTCGTAGGACACGGACGTGCTCTCGCATGTGAATCCAACGACCATCACGTTATTCGCCAGTCATCATTTCCAGATATTCATCTGCTACGTGCCATCATCAATCAACAGCGTTACTGTTTACTGTCCAAGAGTTTTTCGACAGTACCTGTTCGGTCAGCTTAATTACTCGACCATCTTCGACGGCTAAGATTAAAAACGATCGTTTCGACGTTTTCTGGCCCTTGATTTCAGTTCGACCTCAAGCACTCGTCAGGCCGGCGTAATCATTACGCTCGTCACAGGGCTGTTGACTTACAGTCACATCGGGGATTACTCGTAATGACTGTTCAGCCTCGATAAAGGGAGTGCCTTCCTTTAGAAGGTGGGAGAGTGTAAGGAATTACCATTCCTTACTGGGGCTCGCCACAGTGAGTACACACGAACAGTTCACGCCCGCAGGCTCGGCCCTCAAGTCACGCGCCAAACCAACCCCCGTCGACCTCGTTAGCCCCAACCTCATCCCGCGTCGCCCCGAACCCACTTTGATCCCGTCACCCTCGGGACTATCGAGCCCTAGACTGGTCCAACCCTCGACATTCAACCTGGTCAACTCCCACTATATATCAGAACGCTGCAATCACGTTCCCCTTTTAGTATTCTGCTCTATACTCTGAGTTGTAATTCATAACAATCTTGCTCAATTGTAACGAACGTGTGTAACACAATCATATAAACAGCCATATCACCCTACCAGCAGCATTTGACAACTAGGGAGGGCGGAACGCCTGACGGGCAGACTAGGGGAGCGAGTGGGCGTTAGAAGCAGCGTGCACAGGATGGAGGTTGTTGGCATCGCTGCGATACAATGGTGGACCTGCTTGTCCCGCTTGTCCCCCCGGCCTCGCTTGTCCCCCCTCTCCCACTTGTCTCTCATTGTTTGGTGCTCTTTGCCCACGTGCTGCTGACTGCTGCAGCTGTGGGGGCTGCGGAGGAGGAGGAGGAGCATGGAGCAGAGCCAGCACAGGCTGCTCTTGCCCGGACACATGCACCCGCCCTGCCTGCTGCTGCTCCTGCTGCTGCTGCTGTGCTTGCACCTGCCGCTGCTGTTCCAGCTCATGCCCATGCTCCAGCAGCCAATCATCATCATCCATCTCCACTGCTGCTTCCTGCTGCTGGTTCTGCTGCTGCTCCATGCAGCGTCCTTTATTCACCCAGCTGCCACCATCATCGCCACCACCACCACCATCATCATCATCATTATCATCTAAACCCCCTCTCCCAGTAGGGTTACCAGCGATGGTAGTATTACAGAGTAGCAGGGCAGAGAGTGTGTCTGTGCTGACCCGCAGCTGCTGCCAGATGCCCTCCATCTGCTGCTGTAGCGCCTTGTGGTGCGCTAGCTGGGCCCTGGTGGTACCACAAGTCAGGCAGAGGGTAGGGGTCTAAGAATTGTACACATCACAGGCAGCAGATACAGATGTACAGAAGTTGACAGCCCAAGCCTCATAGGTGCACCAGAGCCACATTTGCAGTCTTTCAGCAGCTAAGACGGTAGGGACAAGGAGCTTTGAGTGATGCACACCTGAGAGTGTCAGACTGATCCTGCAGCTGCTGCTTTTTTTGTATAAAAACCGTGTGATAGGAGTATAGTTTTAAGGTGCCTCAAAACTAGACAGGAGGGACAAGGAGCTCTGATGCACACCTGAGAGTGTCAGACTGATCCTGCAGCTGCTGCTTTTTCATGGTCACCTGGTAGCCAAGGGAGAAGGGAGGGTGGCAGCCCAAGGGGGAAGGTTGAGTGAAGGGAGGTGGAAGCAGAAGGAATGAAAGCACTGGAGGGCAGTGAACGGCGTTTTTTGCAGGACGAGTGCTGCACGGCACGCACCAGTGCTGCACAACAAGGGATGGATAGGAGTAGTCGGAGAGGATGAAAATCGGCAACAACTAAAAAAAAAGAGGGCGTTACTGCGCTGAGAGAAGGCATTACCTTGTGAAGAGAGGCTTGCAGGCGCGCCTCTGTTTGCCTCCACTGCTGCACTGCCGCCATATGCTCGTCTGCTCGTTGCTCCAACTGCCACGTGGCGAAGGATGTATGCATGGGGTATAAAAAGGACATACAGCACAAGGCGCATGATCCATTATAGGGAGGGCATTTCACGTGGGCGGTGGGCGGTGGGCGGTGGGCGGTGGGCGGTGGGCGGTGGGCGGTGGGCGGTGGCGGTGGGCGGTGGGCGGTGGGCGGTGGGCGGTGGGCGGTGGGGCGGTGGGCGGTGGGCGGTGGGCGGTGGGCGGTGGGCGGTGGGCGGTGGGCGGTGGGCGGTGGGCGGTGGGCGGTGGGCGGTGGGCGGTGGGCGGTGGGCGGTGGGCGGTGGGCGGTGGGCGGTGGGCGGTGGCGGTGGGCGGTGGGCGGTGGGGGGCGGTGGGCGGTGGGCGGTGGGCGGTGGGCGGTGGCGGTGGGCGGTGGGCGGTGGGCGGTGGGCGGTGGGCGGTGGGCGGTGGGCGGTGGGCGGTGGGCGGTGGGCGGTGGGCGGTGGGCGGTGGGCGGTGGGCGGTGGGCGGTGGGCGGTGGGCGGTGGGCGGTGGGCGGTGGGCGGTGGGCGGTGGGCGGTGGGCGGTGGGGGGGGCGGTGGGCGGTGGGGCGGTGGGCGGTGGGCGGTGGGCGGTGGGCGGTGGGCGGTGGGCTGTGGGCGGTGGGCGGTGGGCTGTGAGCGTGGGCGGTGTGCTGTAGGATTTGAACCCCAGGCTGTGAGCGTGGGCGGTGTGCTGTAGGATTTGAACCCCATACCTCTCTTCAAGGGTTAATTTTTAACCCACTACGACACTAGGTTGAAGGAGATTTTTACGGAGAATCATACCTTGTGGACTTTCCCCGCATTGCAGGAATTCTTGGCGCGCGCCTCTTGACCTTTCCCCATGCACCCCTTGCAGACTTTTCCCGCGCACCTGTCCTATGCTTTCTGTTATGGCCCTGAGAGACTATTCTACCTATAAATCCATCACCGTCACAAATATACACACACATGCATGCACACACTCCCAGCCGCTCACATGCAATGTCCTAGTACGTAATGCATACTACTCACCCATGCAATGTCCTAGTGCGTAATGCATACTACTCACCCGTGCAATGTCCTAGTGCGTAATGCATACCTACTCACCCATGCAATGTCCTAGTGCGTAATGCATACCTACTCACCCATGCAATGTCCTAGTGTGTAATGCATACCTACTCACCCATGCAATGTCCTAGTGCGTAATACATACTACTCACGCATGCAATGCCCTAGTGGGTAATGCATGGTACTCACCCATGCAATGTCCTAGTGCGTAATGCATACCTACTCACCCATGCAATGTCCTAGTGCGTAGTGCATACCTACGCACCCTTGCAATGTCCTAGTGCGTAATGGATACTACTCACCCATGCAATGTCCTAGTGCGTAATGCATACCTACTCTTAGTTGCTACAAACGCTCTAGCAGACACACGCTTAGCGTTCGAATGCAAACGCTAAACGGACCCATAAACGCAAATGCTCGCTGGGAATTTTTCCAGGCTGCCCCTCAAAAAAAAAACCAGGAAAAATTTTACCGCGAAATTGAGACTTGGCGAATTCAGCGCGACATTCGCCAAGTCCCAACCCCGAACCAAGTCGTCGAAATTCACCTCCCAACAACCCCCCCCCCTTCAACCGCACTCCGCACATCGTCAACTACAACATCCAACCCCTCCTCCTCACATCTCATAGATCCACGCAAGTTCGCAATCCCCTCTCCCGTCAAAACCGCCCGCGCGCCATAGCCGTAGCCACTCGTCCTCCTTAGCTGCCATACCTTAGCCACGAGATAACATTCAGTTAACGGCGAGGGCCCATGTCGACCCCTCTCAGCAATGAGGACGCCGCTACAGCGACCACATCTTGTAATGTATACGAGGCGGATAGGAATCACGAGGTTTATAAGTACTTCCGCGTTCTAGTCAAAGAGACCGGCGCCACACAGAAATATGAGTGTCGCTTTTGCGGGCAGAAGATGACCGGTAGTCCCATATACATGAGGATGCATACTTCAAATTTTCCATGGCTTATTTGGAGCCAAATTGCTTGCTGGCAGAACCCCCATGTTTCCCCCCTCCCCCACAGGAAATTTTCACCCCTGCCCGGGCAAATATTTTTACCCCTGCCCGGGCAAGCGTTTGCCTAGCGTTCACAGACACGCTGATGAGCGTTTAGCGTTCAAACGCCAGCGTTTCAAACACTGGCGTTCAACCGCTAAACGCGTTTGTAGCAACTAAGTACCTACTCACCCATGCAATGTCCTAGTGCGTAATGCATACTACTCACCCATGCAATGTCCTAGTGCATCATGCATACCTACTAACCCATGCAATGTCCTAGTGCGTAATGCATACCTACTCACCCATGCAATGTCCTAGTGCGTAATGCATACCTACTCACCCATGCAATGTCCTAGTGCATCATGCATACCTACTAACCCATGCAATGTCCTAGTGCGTAATGCATACCTACTCACCCATGCAATGTCCTAGTGCGTAATGCTCACTACTCACCCATGCAATGTCCTAGTGCATAATGCTTACTACTTACTCACCCTTGCAATGTCCGAGTACGGAATGAAAATAGCGCCACAGGTCGCTCACACGTCGTGCGTAGCTAGACATGGGTATATCGCATCGCATAACGTTTTATCGCATTTTGCGATTGCGGTTTTTATATATATATATATATACAAAATCGCAAAGATGCGATGCGAAAGATATTGCGCGATTTTTGCGATATCGCGCATTTATTGTGGTTTTTTCAGCGGGATAAAACATGATATGCGATATTGAAATATCGCGCGCCATACATCCGCATATCGCGTCGCGGAATTGCGCTAGAAAGGGGGGGAAACATGGGCGCGGGCCCTGAATTTAGCAAAATTTAGGGTTCTCTGGTTGTGATGGCGTTCGGAAATTGCGCGCAGCTGTTTGGGGATGGCGTAATTGACGAGGAGGTGTTTGTGAGGAGCTTGGAGAGAAAGGGTTGGAAATTCTAGTTGAAAAGGAGTGCAATGCGGTTGAGGGAGGGGAGTTGGTTGGAGGTTCAAATTTTGACATGGGCGGTGGTGGATGGAATGTGGTGGTGTGCGATAAAAGGGATTTAGGGGGTTGATTGAAATCTCGACCCCCAACAAGTCAATTGGTTGGAACTCCAACCAATTTCCACAACTTCAACCGCACTAAATTCCTCCGCATCTACAGAATCCAGCCCCTGCCCCTCTAACCGCTCTACATCAGGGAGGGGCCACGATATCTCATTCTCTCGTCAAACTTCACTCACCTAATTCCTCGCCCACGTAGAAAAGCTGGCCTTGTCGTTCTGCTTTTCTCCTCCAACCCCTAAATGCGATGCAATGTTAAATCGCATCGCGCGATATATCGCATTTATGGGTGCAATATTTTTAAACATCGCACCCTAAATCGCGATATGCGATTTCAAGTTTTTAAACAGAATATCACAGCGATGCGATATCGCATCGCTGCGATATCACGCGCGATATGACAAAATGTGATCCGATATCGCATCGCATCGCATTTTAACCATGTCTCCGCGTAGCATCTCATGCAATGTCCGAGTATGTAATGAAAATAGCGCCACAGGTCGCTCACAGAACGAAGTAGCATCTGATAATTAATTCTGAGACGTCTGAAGAGCAGCTGAACGCTGTTTTCCCAAAACTACTTTCCCAAAGCCCCTCTCTTTTCCTCTCTTCCTACCTGCTTTACCCTGCCACCCAGCTCATCAGCCCGCTTCCTGGAATCTTCCAGACGCTGCTCTGCACACTGCCTCTGACCCTCAGCCTGGCAAACGGGCATTAGGGCACGGATGGGGGCATGGGGGCTTGTTCGCATGAGGGCGTGTTGGCAACGGGGCAAGGGTGCATGGGACAAAGAAGGGGGAATAAGGGGGGAATGGGAATATGGGGGCATGGGTGGTGGAGAAACGTGGAAATTAGATGATGGGGAAGTGTGGAAATCAGACGGTGGGGTGACAAGACAACAGGATCCCTAGTTCCTGCCTCTCCATCCTCTCCTGACTCTACCTCCATCAGTTTGGCTTGTATCTGCTCCGTCGCTCGCCTATGCTCCTCCGTCTTTCTCCTCTCCTCCTCCTCTGCTGCTTGCTGCTGCTGCTGCCACTCCCTTTCCACCTGCCGGTTTCAAATATCAGCAGACCCAGATGTTGACACAGGCAGGAGACTTTTGAGGCGCCTCAAAACTCAATCTTAAATATCAGCAGACCCAGATGTTGACACAGGCAGGTGTTTGTAAGGCAAGGGAGCACCAATCATGAAGAATGATTTCTTACAATGATCTAGCAACAGGAGAAGTGGTTGCAACTTGCAATGTGAACAGGCACAAGACTCAGCGATCGGCAAAAGAGTGCCCGAGGTGAAAGAACAGGCACCTGGGTGATCTGCTGCCTGGCTTCTCCTAAAGCTTGCTGCAGCTGCTGGTGCGCATGCTGAGAAAACCAAAGCAAGGGCGAAAGGGGAGGGGAGGTAGGGACATGGGCAGGACGTGAAAGATATACTGTTTGTAGGAAAAGGAAGATACACACCCGCACCATAACCGACAATCCACATGCGTGCACACACAAACCTCCACCCTTCACACACACCCCGCTCTCCTTCTCTCTAGTGCCCGGTAAATGCCAACTCCTTCTCTCAACTCAAAGGCCCCAACTCCTCACTTGCACCCCCCCTGTTCCCGTCCCCCCTCCCCCTTTTCCAATTCTCACCTTCACGCCCCCCAGTTTTGCCTGCACTGCTGCAAGCTGCTGTGCTGCTCTCCATTGCTCCTGAGACAGTTGGAGGAAGGTGGGTGAATGGGTGAATGGGTGAGTGGGTGAACGGGTGAGTGGGTGAATGGGTGAGGGTGAGTGGGTGAATGGGTGAGTGGGTGAGTGGGTGAATGGGTGAATGGGTGAATGGGTGAATGGGTGAGTGGGGTAATGGGTGTGTGGGTGAGTGGGTGAATGGGTGAGTGGGTGAACGGGTGAGTGGGTGAATGGGTGAGGGTGAGTGGGTGAATGGGTGAGTGGGTGAGTGGGTGAATGGGTGAATGGGTGAATGGGTGACTGGGTGAGTGGGGTAATGGGTGTGTGGGTGAGTGGGTGAATGGGTGAATGGGTGAGTGGGTGAGTGGGTGAGTGGGTGAATGGGTGAATGGGTGAATGGGAGAGTGGGTGAGTGGGTGTGCGGGTGAGTGGGTGAATGGGTGAATGGGTGAGTGGGTGTGTGGGTGAGTGGGTGAGTGGGTGAGTGGGTGAGTGGGTGAGTGGGTGAATGGGTGAATGGGTGAATGGGTGAATGGGAGAGTGGGTGAGTGGGTGTGTGGGTGAGTGGGTGAATGGGTGAATGGGTGAATGGGTGAATGGGTGAATGGGTGAATGGGTGAATGGGTGAATGGGTGAATGGGTGAATGGGTGAGTGGGTGAGTGGGTGAGTGGATGAGTGGGTGAGTGGGTGAGTGGGTGAGTGGGTGAGTGGGTGAGTGGGTGAATGGGTGAATGGGTGAATGGGTGAGTGGGTGAGTGGGTGAGTGGGTGAGTGGGTGAATGGGTGAATGGGTGAATGGGTGAATGGGTGAATGGGTGAATGGGTGAATGGGTGAATGGGTGAATGGGTGAATGGGTGAGTGGGTGAGTGGGTGTGTGGGTGAGTGGGTGAGTGGGTGAGTGGGTGAGTGGGTGAATGGGTGAATGGGTGAATGGGAGAGTGGGTGAGTGGGTGTGCGGGTGAGTGGGTGAATGGGTGAGTGGGTGAGTGGGTGTGTGGGTGAGTGGGTGAGTGGGTGAGCGGGTGAGTGGGTGAGTGGGTGAGTGGGTGAATGGGTGAATGGGTGAATGGGTGAATGGGAGAGTGGGTGAGTGGGTGTGTGGGTGAGTGGGTGAATGGGTGAATGGGTGAATGGGTGAATGGGTGAGTGGGTGAGTGGGTGAGTGGATGAGTGGGTGAGTGGGTGAGTGGGTGAGTGGGTGAGTGGGTGAGTGGGTGAGTGGGTGAGTGGGTGAATGGGTGAATGGGTGAATGGGTGAATGGGTGAATGGGTGAATGGGTGAGTGGGTGAACGGGTGAGTGGGTGAATGGGTGAGGGTGAGTGGGTGAATGGGTGAGTGGGTGAGTGGGTGAATGGGTGAATGGGTGAATGGGTGAATGGGTGAGTGGGGTAATGGGTGCGTGGGTGAGTGGGTGAATGGGTGAATGGGTGAGTGGGTGAGTGGGTGAGTGGGTGAATGGGTGAATGGGTGAATGGGAGAGTGGGTGAGTGGGTGTGCGGGTGAGTGGGTGAATGGGTGAATGGGTGAGTGGGTGTGTGGGTGAGTGGGTGAGTGGGTGAGTGGGTGAGTGGGTGAGTGGGTGAGTGGGTGAATGGGTGAATGGGTGAATGGGTGAATGGGAGAGTGGGTGAGTGGGTGTGTGGGTGAGTGGGTGAATGGGTGAATGGGTGAATGGGTGAATGGGTGAATGGGTGAATGGGTGAGTGGGTGAGTGGGTGAGTGGATGAGTGGGTGAGTGGGTGAGTGGGTGAGTGGGTGAGTGGGTGAGTGGGTGAGTGGGTGAGTGGGTGAATGGGTGAATTGGTGAATGGGTGAGTGGGTGAGTGGGTTAGTGGGTGAGTGGGTGAGTGGGTGAATGGGTGAATGGGTGAATGGGTGAATGGGTGAATGGGTGAGTGGGTGAATGGGTGAGTGGGTGAGTGGGTGTGTGGGTGAGTGGGTGAGTGGGTGAGTGGGTGAGTGGGTGAGTGGGTGAGTGGGTGAATGGGTGAATGGGTGAATGGGAGAGTGGGTGAGTGGGTGTGCGGGTGAGTGGGTGAATGGGTGAGTGGGTGAGTGGGTGTGTGGGTGAGTGGGTGAGTGGGTGAGCGGGTGAGTGGGTGAGTGGGTGAGTGGGTGAATGGGTGAATGGGTGAATGGGTGAATGGGAGAGTGGGTGAGTGGGTGTGTGGGTGAGTGGGTGAATGGGTGAATGGGTGAATGGGTGAATGGGTGAATGGGTGAGTGGGTGAGTGGGTGAGTGGATGAGTGGGTGAGTGGGTGAGTGGGTGAGTGGGTGAGTGGGTGAGTGGGTGAGTGGGTGAGTGGGTGAATGGGTGAATGGGTGAATGGGTGAGTGGGTGAGTGGGTGAGTGGGTGAGTGGGTGAGTGGGTGAATGGGTGAATGGGTGAATGGGTGAATGGGTGAATGGGTGAATGGGTGAATGGGTGAATGGGTGAATGGGTGAGTGGGTGAGTGGGTGAATGGGTGAGTGGGTGAGTGGGTGAGTGGGTGAGTGGGTGAGTGGGTGAATGGGTGAATGGGTGAGTGGGTGAGTGGGTGAGTGGGTGAATGGGTGAGTAGGTGAGTGGGTGAGTGGGTGAGTGGGTGAATGGGTGAATGGGTGAATGGGTGAATGGGTGGGGGACGCGCATGCATGCAAACACGTGCGTGCAGATACACAGCGTGGCACATATGATTCATTATTGAAGCCCAAAAAATGGCTTTCACCTGACCCTCTGTTGCTTCCACCTGACCCTCTGCTGCTTTCACCTGAGCATGGGCAGCTTTCATGGAATCCATGGCTTGTTGCTGCGAAGCCACCTCAGCATGCAGGGATGACAGCTGGCCAAAGATGATTGGAGGGAAGGAGCGGATGGGGATGAGAAACAGGCAGCAGCAAGGGCACATGTGAGGAACAGCAGCAGTTGAGGGATCCAAATGAGGAGCAGCAGGAGGAGCAGGAGGAGGAGGAGCAAGGGGATTAATGTGGCAGATGGAAAAGGGCCAACTGGGAGCCCCATAAGACCGGCCCAGTGCAGTGCAGGGCAGAGCAGTGCAGTGCAGTGCAGTGCAGTGCAGTGCAGTGCAGTGCAGTGCAGTGCAGCCCCCCCGGCAGCACTCACCTCGTCACGCGCTGCCTGCAGGTCGCCTCTGAGCTCCCGTGCCTGCTGCTGGTGGCTGTCCACCTGCCTGCGAGACAACAGGGAGAGGAACGCCTCAATGATGCCAATGCGATTGTGGGAGCCTAAGTTACTGGTGGGTCAGCAACGGGGGGGAATGGCCGACGAGGGGACGCCATGTGAGTGGCACCATTTGGTGCACTTATCAAGTTATCAAGTTCAAACCTGCCCAGTGGTTCACCTCGTCGCTTCTCGTGTCTCAGCCTGTGCGTGGGCCAGTTGCGCCTGTTGCTCCCGCATCCGGGTCTCCCCTTCTCTCATCCTCCTCTCCAACTCACGAGACATCTGCTGCTGCCCCTCCCCTGCCAAGCATTCCCCTGGCGACATACCTCGTTGCATCTCGCATCTGAGCCTGTGCGTGGGCTAGTTGCGCCTCTTGCTCCCTCATCAGCGTCTCGACTTTCCCAACCCTCCTCTCCACCTCGCAGGCTCTCTGCTGCTGCTCCTCCCCCTTGCGCCTCTCCACCTCCTTCTGCTGCCGCGCGGCTTCAGCCTGCAGCCAATGCAAATGCATTCACACATCAATGCGTCACGTATCCGCGTGTCACATATCAATGCGCTCACATACGAAGGTACACACACTTGTAACATGGAAGAGCGTTATGCCTGCAAACTCAGAATTAGAGAATCTCAGGTGCTGACTACCTGAGCCGTAGTTTGAGCCAGGTCACTTCTACAGGAGGCCAGAGCCCTGCGAAGCTCCTCCTCTGCCACTCCCCTCTGCTCCACTTCCGCCCTCGCAGCTGCCAACTCACGCTCACACCTCTCCTGTGCCGCCCTCGTTGCTGCCACCTCCGCCTTCGCTGTTGCTAGATCGTTCTGCGTTCTCTCAAGAGCAGCCCTTGCTGCCATCCCCTCTGCTCGCGCTGCTGCCAGCTCGCTCTGGGATTTCTCCCAAGTCGTCCTCACTGCTTCCCCCTCTGCTCTAGCCAGCCCTGCGTCTGTCCTGGCTGCTGCTAGCTGGTCCGCGAGTGCCCTGATCCGCTGCTCCATGGACGCCTGGGGGGATTAGAGTGAGGGGTGGGGGTGGGGATTGTTGTCATGGGCTTTGTGTTCAAGACTTATAACGATCAGCGCCCCCCACGCTGCTGCTAGGTGGTCGGTGAGCGCCCTGACTCGTTGCTCCATGGCCGCCTGGGGGGAAAGAGATGGTGAGGGAGACATGGAGGGGGGCAGGGGGAGGGGGGAGAGGGGGAATTGGAAGGGCAGAGGAGGGAATAGCGGCAGGGGCAGAGGATGCGAGAATATGGAAGGCCATGAACGAGGGTCATACCATGCCATGCCATGCCATGCCATGCCATGCCATACCATGCCATACCATGCCATACCATGCCATACCATGCCATACCATGCCATACCACACCATACCATGTCATACCATGCCATGCCATGAGATGCCACGCCATGCCATGGCTTGGTTGGCATCAGAGCATCACAGAATGCCATGCAGCTTACTCGCAGCAGCACATCTCTCTCCAGCACTGCTAGGCGCTGCTCCATGGCCCTCATGCCTTCTGCTGCCCGCACCACCCCTTGCGCCTCCATGCCCCCTGTCTCCCACATCCCTTGCGCCTCCATCCCGCCTGTCTCCCGCATTCCTTGTGCCCCCTTCAATCGATCCTTCTCCAGTACTTGCACCATCTCCACCCCTCTCTCCGACCCTCTCTCCTCCGCTCTCTCATCACCGCTATCTTCCCCACATCTCCCCACTCCATACGCCCCTCCCAGGTACCCATTACCCCTCGCTGCCGCCCCCACTGCCCCATGGGTTGGCTCCCTCCCCTCCCCCAGCCTACTCCCTCCTCTCGGCGCTGCAGCCCTCACATCGTCTGTTGCACACGCCTCAGCTCGACCCGGCACATGAGCCCCACACCTCTGCACTCTGCTTGATTGCTCTCCCCTATGCTCTCCCCTATGCTCTCCCCTATGCTCTCCCCTATGCTCTCCCCTATGCTCTCCCCTATGCTCTCCCCTATGCTCTCCCCTATGCTTCCCCCCATGCTCCGGCCCATGATCCCCCCCAAGCTCTTCCCCATGCTCATGCCACCCCCACCCTTCACCCGCCCAGCGCTCCGCCCCACACCCCCCCTCACGCACGTCTGCCCATCCCACTGCATCCTCCCCCCCACCTTCCCCTCTCCCTCTCCTCTCTCCTCCGCTATCGTCTAGTCTCGCCCCCTCACAGCCCCTCACTTCCCCCCACCTCACTCTCTTCTCTGCCCCCAGCATTCCTCCCTGTGTTGCCCCTCGCACAGGGATGGCCCTTCCAGCAGCCTCAGCAGCCACGCTGAAGGCTCCGGCACCACCAGTATCAGCAGCACCACCACCACCACCAGCACCACCAGCAGCACCACCACCAGCACCAGCACCACCAGCAGCAGCACCACCAGTATCAGCAGCACCACCACCACCAGCAGCAGCAGCACCACCACCACCACCAGCAGCAGCACCAGCAGCACCAGCAGCAGCACCACCACCAGCAGCAGCACCAGCAGCACCACCGGCAGCAGCAGCAGCACCACCAGCACCACCAGCACCACCAGCAGCACCAGAACCACCAGTAGCAGCAGCACCAGCAGCAGCAGCAGCAGCAGCAGCAGAAGCAGCAGCGGCAGCACCATTAGTTGGGTTATGGTCCAGACGCCTTCTCTTATTGCCACCCTCCCTCTCATCTCCAACCATCGGACCTGCCTCCGAACCTGATGCCTCAGAATCCGAGCCACCTACTCTCACCATACCTGGACCCGGTTTGCCCATGTTCACAGTCCCAGCCCTCTTTCCTGCGCCAACCCCTGCCCCGGCCACAGCTGTTCCCTCACCCTCCTCTCTCTCCCCCCTCTCCCCCCTCTCCCCCCTCTCCCCCCTCTCCCCCACCTCACCGGACCCCTCCACCCGACACCCGGCGCCCCTCTCCCTGCCTGCGAACGGGCTCTGCTTCACCAGCCGCCCCACATCGCCCCCCACTAGGTCCAGCTGCTGCCGCTGCACCGCCCTCCACTCCCTCTGCTCCCTCTGCGCCAGCTGCTGCTGCTGCTGGTGCCTTTGCTGCTTCTGCTGCTTCTGCTTCTTCTGCTGTTCATTCTGCTGCATTCGTTTCTCACCTGCTTTTACTACCTTCCCTCTTGCCCCTTCTCCTACGTCCCCCCCACCACCACCCTGCCTGCCTTCTCTCCCTCCCTCCACTCCCCCACCCACGGGACCAGAGCCTATCTGGGCATCACCTTGCATTGCCTCAGTCTTGCTGCCCCTTCTCACACGCCACGATCCGAGCCCAGTCGTGAGCTTGCGAGCCGTGCTCAAAGGCCGCTTTGCGCCTCCTGTTGTTGCTCGTCGTGAAGTCACTGGAGCTGCTGCCCCTGCTGTTTCCGCTCCTCCTGCCACTCCTGCTAGACCTTCTCCCCCCTTGATACCCCCTCTTCCTCCTCTTGCTCCTCCTCTTCCTCCTCCTCCTCCTCCTCCAGCTTCTCTTCCTGCTCCCACAGCAGCCTCAAGGCGAGCAGACAAACCTGCAGCTCCCATGCCACGTGTGCCTGCAACAGCCTCTTCATCGACATGTGTCGTCGCACGATTGGCTCGTAACAGGCCAGGGGCAGCTGGCTGAATTCCCCCTCCATGCTTGCCTGCTGAGTTGGCCGCGTGTGATTGGCTGGCCGTTGGTGGGAAGGCAGACGGAAGGTTGCGGAGGGCAAAGAGGTCGGCGTAGGAGAGATCTGGTAGAGGGGTGAGGTGGGTGGGGGCGATAGGGTCGGAAATTTCGGTTTGGGGAAATTGGATCGGGGGGAGTGGAGCGGGGTAATATGAAAGGAGCAAAGGCCTTGGAATGGGGGGGAGGGCAGATGAGTAAATGGAGCAAAGCGAGTTCTCCTATTCCCAACTCCATGCACCTACCCTTGCCGCCATAGCCGCCGAAGAGGAACAGCGACCGGCCCCAATACACCAAGGAGTGCGCCGCCCTGCCCGCAGGCACCGCGCCCCCCTTCCCACCACACACACCTCCCACATTCTCCCCTTCCCCCACATGGGGAGGCACAGCAGGCATGGGGGGGGAGGGGGGGAGGGAGGCGATGCGGTGCCAGGCGAGGGTGAGCGGCGGAGAGGCATGGGAGGCTGGTGGGGATGGGGGTGTGTTGTGTGCTGGGGTTAAGGCCTGGTCAAGGGAGTTGGGGGAAGGAGAAGAGGAGGATAGTTCTGAGATGCTGCCAGGAGCGTTACTGGGTTGCTTGCAGGTGCATGCCATCCTAGGAACTTACGGCAAGGCGCATGGTACGGCATATGGTAGCATGGTAAGGAATGACATGGCATGGCATGGCATGGCATGGCATGGCAAGGCACGGTACGGCACAGCATGCGAGCACCTGCAGTAGCCAGAGGTCATCCAGTCTATCCTTCTTCACCCTGCCTCCGTGCATCACCGCCATATCGCCCCCCACACATGCCACCGCGTGGTTTGACCGTAGCTGTGGTCGGGGTCCCCCCGAAGATGCCACCTTGGGCTCGACCCATGCATCGCATAGCGGGTCATAGGCCCTGCAGTGCAGGGAAATGGGATGATGAATTGGAAAACATATGCATGCATGCATACATGCATATGTATATGTGTGTATATAAGGACCCACCTGGTCTGTATTTTACCCCGAGCTCATCTGATGAAATACACCTGAAGCACACCTGAGAATCACCTGAAGCAGAACTGAGAATCACCTGAAGCACAACTGAGAATCACCTGAAGCACAACTGAGAATCACCTGAAGCACAACTGAGAATCACCTGAAGCACGCGTGAGACTCACCAGAGGCTCTGCTGTCCCCTGCACGCGTAGGCCTCAACTCACCAGAGGCCCTGCTGCTCCTTGTCTGCGCGCTGCTTGGTCTTTCCTCCGAAGACGACAGCCCGGCCGGCCAGGTTTGTCATGGAGTGGTAGCCGCGGGCAGAGGGAGGGGCGCCGGAGGGACGCACGTCTTGCCATAGCAGACACTCTGAGAACACACAGTCGCACACGGTGGTGGGGTGGGAGTGGGGAGGCGGGCAGGGGAAGGGGGAGAACGGGGGAGGAGGACAAAGCGAGAGGAGGGAAGGTCAGGCGTGATAGAAGCGCAAGTGGGGTGAAGGCATATGGAGGTTAAGATTGCTTGCGACAGTGCAATGTAGTGATTCGCACCTGTATCGAGAACACAGAGGTCAGCCAGAAAATCCAGCTTGGGCCCTTCGCCCCCATATCCCCCGTGGATGAGCAGCCACGTGGCGTGCTGCGGATGCACCAGGGCCGCATGTGTGGCACGTGGATACTCTGCATATCTGCCACGTGTCTGCACCTCCCTCCACTGCCAACGTGCAGTGGAAACATGGGGGCGAGGGAGGGAGGGGGAGGGTAAGTGGGGGGGGAGGAGGGAGGGAGGGGGAGTAGGAATGCAGAGGTTGGGGGCGGGGAGGGGGGGTGGGCCAAGGAAGGGACGTGAGACAGAGGGGGTGGTACAGGGAGGGTGAGGCTAGTGGCTTAGCAAGCAGGCTGGGCCCACTCCCCCGTGCGCCCATTCCCCCCCCCTCCGCCCACTTCCCCCCTCGGCGCCCACCTTCCCCCCCCCGTGCGCGTACCTGCCTGGTGCGCGTGTCGAGCACGAACACGTCGTGCTTCACCGCCTTTTCGTCGCTGCCGCCCACCACCCAGATCTCCGAGTCGCCCACAAGCGTCGCGCTGTGATAGGCTCGCGGGGAGAACGGCGCGTGCTCGTTAATCAACTCCCACCTCGCTGCTGCTCCTCCTTCTCTTCCTCGTACCCCTTCTCCTACTCGTGCCTCTCCTGCTCCTCCCTCTCCGGCTTGGCAACTCGACTTCCCCCCATCGTCGGTAGTCCCTTCGACGCCGTCGCAGCCGGAAAGGTCGCACAGCCAGACGTCGTTCACGTGCGAGCGATCCGCCAGTCGCCCGCCCATGACGTACATGCAGCTGCCGACGAGCGTCGCGCTGTGACCGATACGTGGCACGAGGCCATTGGGTACTGCGCGAGACAGAAGCGACAGGCATCGGGATTAGGAAAGGGTGACTCACGCTGCCACCTGGAACGCAACTTGCGTTCCGAGACTCAAGTTGAGCTAAATCGTAAAACCGCGTTATACTCTGATTCTACCCATATGCGCGCATCGCCGTCTGCTCTCCTAGACCACTGACACCCACCTTGTAGCTGCTGCCAGAAAGGGACTGGGCTGCTACCGCGAGCCATGTCATTTGTGGCGTGTGTACTATTAGAAATGTATTCGGATATTGCCGAGTGGACCTTTTACGTCTGGCGCCGTATGTCTGCAACGATTGCCATTTCCTTTCCCATTCACATACAGCTGGTCTGTCTAGCTGAGCTCATTTGACAGTTTGATTATTGATCTAATGATGGGAGACATCCATGGTTCCAGACTTACATGCTCCACGTGGTTGTAGTGTGGGATAACCATGTGTCATTACTGACGGGGGGGACTGTTTTTCTACCGTTGGTCTTATGCACAAAAATAAATGGGAGGAACTAAGTTAATATTTGAGATCTGCAACAAGGAACAAAACTGTGTATCATCGGCTGATTGGAAGGCTATTTACACTGTAGAGCATCTACAAGTCGATAGCCCTCTTGCCACTGAACTTGACAGCTGCGGGATCAACGTTCTTGCCAATGGAGCGGAGGTTCACGTTGGCGTTGGCGCGGCCGGCGTTAACCTTCTCGGGGTAGACACCATCCTTGGGGTGAAGGTACTGGACCTCGCCGCTGGGGAACACGCGGTAGAACTGGTAGTTAATCTTGAACTTTGTCCTCAGCTGGGTGCCGAGAGCCAGGCACTGCTCCTTCCTGGCGAGCTTCAGCAGGTTGGGGCCGGCCCTCATGATGGCAGCGCCACCGGTGGGCATCTCGAAGATCTGCTCCTTCTTGGCCTCCCAGGTGATCACGTAGAACTCCTCGACCTGAGCCTTGCGGAGAAGGCCGCCAGTGCTTCCGCCGAAGATGGGCGAAGGGGTGTCGGACTTCAGCTCCGGGGGAGAGAAGCCGGCGGGGGCCTCCGCAGCCATGGTCAGGCGCGCGGGAGCGGCCTTCACGGAGAGGGAAGCACCGGCGAAGCTCTTGGCATTGAGCTTCTGGGTGTTGGCGCCAAACACGGCAGCCACGCGGACAGCAGAGGAAGAGGCAACGGCGGCCATTGCTGTGATTTTTGCTGGTCAGGCGTGGCTGGGGTAGAGTTCGGCGGTAAGTGGAGGACAAATGCTGCCTGTACAACAAGGGTTTGCAGATGACAAGATGGAAATGAGAAGCTCAAGATAAGAAATGCGCAACTCTGTGGAAATCTCGAGACACCCCCTGAATGCTCCGAATGCTGATCTGGTTCGCCTGGGAGCCGTTGTGGATGACGCTTGGAAAGCAACATTCCAGGCCTATCTTGGGCGACCAATCAGGGAGGGAAACTACCTCGCAGAGCCCATGCCGCCAATTCCTGTGAGCCAATGGCCGGGGATCAAAAGGTCTAAGGATAGCCGAAGACCAATGAAGGGCCATCCGAGCTGTGCGAGATGCACCTGGTATCGCAGGGTCACTCGTCACTCGAACGATCTTTCTGTCTAAGCGCAATAAATGGTGGCTGTAGACTCAGGTTTGTTTTACAAAAATTGATATGCCTACAAAATGCTCATCCATTCAAAATAGTTTGAAATACTACCAAAACACTTTTCCACGTTATTACTCATTCTATTGGACATTTTCTAGCTACTAAATAACAAGCACGCAGCATTCCTTCAAAACTCAACGTTGCACTAGCATATCATTGCATAAGCCAAGCACTTCTCTTTCAAGCAGCTGATTGCAAGACGGCAGCTGCCTGTGCGCCTGCCCTCCCACTCTCCTGTGCAAGCTTACAGAAGAGAGCAACAGATTCCTCAGGAGTTCCCTGCACCACGCCATGTCCCACATTGAGAATGTGCCTTCTGCCCCCCGCCTTGATCAGGCAGTCAGCCACTGCTGCTCTGATGGACGCCTCGGGGCCAAAGAGAACCATAGGGTCCACATTACCCTGAAAGACAAACAAGGGGAACGAGAAGGCAAAAGGGACTAGGTACAACACACATGATGGCTTTCCAGCAGGGAAACATGCAGAGAGAGATGAGCAGCAAGTGCGGGGAAGTGAAGGGCCTCCCACCATACAACTCGTGAATCCTGGTTCTCACCTGCAGCACGACGGCACTGCCAAACAGGCTCCTGGCTTCGGCGATATCCGTTCCCCAGTCGAGCCCGATGACATCAGCAGTGCATCCCGCCTGCACGAGGTGCAGCTTGCCAGTGCCGCTGTTGGCGTGGAAGATGATGGGCGTGTGCAGGTGCAGCTGCTTCACACGCTGCACGATGCGCTGCCTTGCGCTTCACCATGCACTACGTTTCCGACTGTTCAACCCATTGTGCTACCCACTGCCGCCCCCCCCAAAAAAAGGGTTCTTCTCACCTGAAGCACAGTGTCATTGCCAAAGAGGCTCCTGGCTTCAGCCATATCGGTGCCCCAGTCGAGCCCGATGACATCAGCAGTGCATCCCGCCTGCACGAGGTGCAGCTTGCCAGTGCCGCCGTTGGCGTGGAAGATGATGGGCGTGTGCGGGTGCAGCTGCTTCACACGCTGCACGATGCGCTGCGCGTATGGCAGGCTGAACTCAGCGAACTGCGCAGGCGTGAGGTGGTGCGCCCACGAGTCAAACAGCTGCACGATGTGTGCCCCACAGCTGATCTGGTGGCACACGTAGACTACTAGGGCATCCTCCAGGGCCTGCAGCACGCCGTGCAGCAGCTGAGGCTCTGATTGGGGTATGGGGAAAGAGGTGTGGGAGACATGCAAAGGAGATGACAAGGTTGGGGGAGAGCTATGTCAGATACGAGAATGAACTGTTATGGAGGACCACGGTGACGGCAGTTGGCATGCTGTGTCACATGCCCTTGGGTTTTCCCAAAAGCGTTTGCGATGTGCCCACAAAGCCCACACCGCAGGCACCAAAAGCAGGTGCTGCCCTGCCCCTCCAAGGCATCAGCAGCCAGCATCCAACGCATGCCCGCTAAAATTTCAAGTCATCCCACCACGCCCCCCACACCCACCGTGCAGCATCATGTGCTTGGTGGCCATGAGGTTCTTGTTGCCCTGCCCCTCGATGGCATACGCCGCCAGCGTCCACGGCGTGCCAACGAACCCCAGCAGCGTCGCCTCGCTGCCCGCGATCTCCCTCCGCAGGGAAGTGAGGATCTCGCGGATGAAGGGCAGCTTGGCGTCAGGGTCCTCCAGAGGTCTGGTCACAGGACACAGGGAGGAGTGAGAAGGGGAAGCCGTGACTATTGAAATGGATTGCCTTGTGAGATGGGTTGAGAGTCGCCACTCAGTCAGCTAGCTCCCTGTGGTGGGAGGAGAGGAGCTAGGGTGTTCACGAATGACGGGAGGCTGGGCGTTAGGGTCCTCCAGAGGCCTGGGTGTGGGAGGGGAAGGGGGAGCGCAAGGGAAGGGGGAGCGAGAGGGTGCAGGATTGACGTGTGAGTGCACTCCAAGTGATGCCTGGGATGGGAAGAATGAGGATGGCATGAGAAGGGGAGAGGTGAGGCCATGAGGCAGAGGAAGGGTAATGCAGAGGTCGTCGGAGGTGAAACGCTTTTGAGTCGACTCAAGAGCAGAGGTCGTGGAAGGTGAAACGGAGGGCGCACGCAGTAAGTGTAGCCAGCAAGAATCTGCACAAGAGTCTCGCTTACCAAGACAAGGCCATTCGGGCTATGTAAGCTTGGTGTTTCGCTATTGGGTGTGAGCGTTTTGTTTCGGAACACAAGTACTCCACCACGCGCCTTGCACTGCATCCCTCCCAGCACACTGTTCCTTCCATCCCGCCCCTTGCTCTCGCTCTGGTTCTCCCTCCCCGCCCTCACCCGCCCTCGTTCAGCCACTCACCCATCCCTATAACCCCTCATTTCCCCTCCCCTCCTCCCTTCATCCTCCTCCCTTCATCCTCCTCCCTTCATCCTCCTCCCTTCATCCTCCTCCCTTCATCCTCCTCCCTTCATCCTCCTCCCTTCATCCTCCTCCCTCATTCCCCTCTGCCTCTCCCACCGCACATCACCTTCGCCCCACTCTCGTCGCAGGTCGCCCTTGCTGCGAATGGGGTCAGCGATGATGGATCCCTTAGCTCTTCACCACGCCAGTCTGGTTTCGCCCTTGCCCGCAGCGCCCCACCCTCCCTTCTCTCCGCCACCCTCGCGACTCACTTCATGTCCAGCAGGTCGGCCTTGGTGCGAATGGGGTCCGCAATGACGGGCCCCTTGCCCTTGACCATGTCGAACTCCACCCCCAGCGCGGGCAGGATGGTGAGGATGTCGGAGAACATGATGACGCCGTCCGTGCCGAACGCCTTCCACGGCTGCAGGGTCAGCTCGATAGCAATCTCCGCCGTCTCAGAGCGCATGCGGAAGGGGTACTTGTCAGAGAACCTGGGGGGGGGGGGGGGGGGGTCGTGTATGGGGTGCATTGCGAGAGACGAAGGGACGTCGGAAAACACGATGACGCCGTGTGTGCCAAACGCCTTCCACGGCTGCAGGGTCAGCTCGACGGCGACCTCAGCGGTTTCAGAGCGCATCTGGAAAGCGCATCTGGAAAGGGCACATCTGGAAAGGGCATCTGGAAAGGGCACTTGTCAGCGAACCTGGGGCCAAGTCGGATGGGGGGCCAAGTCGGATGGGGGGCCAAGTCGGATGGGGGGCCAAGTCGGATGGGGGGCCAAGTCGGATGGGGGCCAAGTCGGATGGGGGGCCAAGTCGGATGGGGGGCCAAATCGGATGGGGGGCCAAGTCGGATGGGGGGCCTAAGTCGGATGGGGGGATACGGCGTGTATGGGCGTGACATGGGATGGGAGGGGCGGGGAAGGGATGTCTTTTCTTGCGATTGTAAATCCTTGACATCAGAGTGCAGCTGAGTTTGCTTGATTCTCGAGGGGATGGAGGTTGTGTATGACCTCCGTCGTCGGTCTGTGTGACCTTCTTTCGTTGTGTCTGACTGCACTCCCTGGCGCAAGTCCTTCATGTAGCGACTGGCTTGCCTCGTGAGCATTTCAAAGGAAGGAACAAGACGTGGATTTCAAAGGAAGGAACAAGACGTGGATTTCAAACGAATGGGGGCTTCGTCCGACGTACGTCGGCCTGTGTGACCGCACTCACTTGCGGAAGTCCTTCATGTAGCGCCCGGCTTGCCTCATGAGCCACACGGGAGTCCGCTCAGCGTCTGGTGACACGCACGCGCGGGAGACACGCACTCGCACGCACCCTCACCCGCCACCATCCATCACCACCATTCATCGCGCATAACCGCACAGAACCAGGCACACCGTGCGACCGAAGTCAGCACGCGCATCACCGTCAGGAAAGCACATTCCAGTAACACGGAAGACGGAAAGGAGAGAGCAGTTGGGCTCAATGGGAGGCGAATTCATGCAACGGTGTCAAAGGGATTGACTGCGAACGTGGAAAACAGGAGCTGTTGCAACGAGCACCAAAACTCCTAGACTCCAAGGGTCCAAATGTTGCTTGTCATCATGCAACGAACATTCAATTAGGTGGCACGGAAATCGCGCTACTGACCCTCTCCGCGCGCCACGCGCAACAGCAGCGGATCCCGCGCGCCGTCGTGGAGAATCTCCGCCGTCGAGCATCGGCACTTGCCGCGTCCCTCCGCCACCTGCGATCCCGCATGACCCGCTCGCTTCGCGGAGGGGAAGGCGACGGAGGCCGCGGTGCCGGAGATGCCGTTGCTGGCAGATGCCACGTGGCTCAGCCTGGCGGGAACGGAAACTGCTGTCGACAATCCCAAGGTGGCAGCCATTGTTCCAGAATCAGCCCGAATTATCTGAGCCTAAGAAGGCAAGCCGTCGCGACAAGGAACGCAGGCAGGGGAGCAGAATCTGACGGCAGATAAACAGCTTGATGCGACTCTACAGCGCCACGCCCTAAACGAGGAGATTATTATCAGGCTTGGCTTGGCTTGGCTTGGCTTGGTTTGGTTTTGCTCTTGGGCTGCAGGTATTGGGATGAGTGGAGTGGAGCGCCTTGGGATTGCCTAGACTTGCGATAATACAAGTTTGGGTTGGGTATAGTTGGGTGGAGGGAGCACTGGCACAGATAATCCGAAGCGCAACTTGAGGATGTCTGGGTGAGGTGACGTGGCTCGCGCTGGATTTCGTTGTCCACGTGTTCAGTAGGTACTGCCCGTCTTGTCTACAAGCACCTCCGCCAAAAGGAATTCACGTTCTGGTTTACCATTTTTGTATGGAAATGGAAATTGAAACCAGATGAGCCTGGAACGCGCCGATCGAGTTAGCCTAGAACGAGGAATCCCGGCTTACAATTTACAGCGTGGAACCACCTCCTGCCACGCTGTAGAAGGGATATCGATTGGCCAAAAAGCGTGTTTGACGCCGCGGATTGGCCAAATCTGTGATCCAGGTCATCGTATCTCCACGAACTCCTGCCTTTTCCCGCCACTCAGGGCTAGGGAAGAACTCACCCCAAGCAGTCGCGCCGCATCTGAATGAAACCCAACTCTTCCAAAGTCGCCCCTCGATTCCCTCACTTGTCCGTCTTTCTCTGCTGTTAATTTTCACTTGTGCCTGTTGTTCACTCCGCCATTTTATACTTCCCACTTCTTTGCGGGTACCTAATCCGGATACCCAATCTCCGTGAATCCTACCAACTACGATTCGCGAATTCCGATTTGTTTTCCATGGCGCCCCTAGGTCCTGTTACTAGTACTGTTGGAGTGAACACTGTGCTAGGACAGCCACCCAAGTGGCTGGGTGATTCGCCTCTTGGAGCTCGACTGTTGGCGGCTCGTCTAACATCTACAAGGTGCGCTGCCTCGTTGCACGAAGCCCCTGAAGCATTCTCCTCGAAATCATTCCCCCTTGCACTCCTTTTCCTTACCTTTTTCCTAAACCTTCCCGTTCCAGTTCCACTTCCCCTCCCCCTTTCCTTCCCCTTCCCCTTCCCCTTCCCCTTCCCCTTCCCCTTCCCCTTCCCCTTACCCTTCCGATCCAGCTCTGCTCCCGCCGCACTCCGCCTTCCGCCGCTTCACTCCGCCACGCGCTCCCCGCGACCCCTCGCCACGTCATGCTCCGCCGGAGGCGCCCACCACGCCACGCCAAGAGCAAGACGCGGAAACACTGCTGGGGGAAGCGCCACTGCTGGGGAAAGCGCTAGCGCCGGCACGAACGGCTCGACGGGTGGCTCGTCGTCGTCGTCGTCGTCGTCGATCCCTTCGCCGTTCGCCTTCGTCGGGCTGGACTACTACCAGATCCTCGCCGTGCCCGTCGGCGCGCCCCCCGCCGAAATCCGCCGCGCGTACCGCGCGCTGCAGAAGAAATACCACCCGGATGTCGCGGGGGCCGAGGTGCGCTTCAAAGCCCAGCGCTTCAAAGCCCAGCGCTTCAAAGTCCAGCTTACAAATTGAGGCGCCGCAAGACACGGCTCCGCGCCGAAATCTCCAATTGTCGAGCTCTGGAGCTGTTGATCCTTCAGCGCGTCCGACAAGCGCCCGAAATGGCTCCTCTGCCCCCCTTCAGGCGAACGAGATGGGCTTTACTAAGAGCTCGACGACGCGAACGAGATGGGCTTTAAGAGCTCGACGACGCGCACGAGATGAGCTCGACGACGTGCACGAGACGCTCATGCACGACAGGCGCCGTTACTGCTGAAGCTGGGCGTTGCCGTTTCGAATCTCCAAGAGTATCCCCCCCACCTCCCCTTCTTCCCCCTCCCCATCTCCCCGCATCAGGCGCACGAGATGGCGTTGAAGCTGAACGAAGCCTGCGACACGCTTAAGGACGCAAGGTCGAGCTTCCGATGCTTCTGAATTTTCTGAGAGCCCCCTAGTACCTCCTCTCCCCTCCTCCGACGGCCACCCCCCCAGGCGCACGAGATGGCGCTGAAGCTCAACGAGGCGTACGACACGCTCATGGACGACAGGCGCCGCGCCGCGTACGAGAAGGAATGGCGCGACGCGGCCGTGGCGGGGTACGTGGGATTCACGGGGCAGGCGCGGAGCGCGTGGGCGGCGCCTGAAGGCCAACAGCAGGCGATCTTCGTGGACGAGGCGGCGTGCATCGGTATGTGAGGTGCACGGGACATGCGTGTCAGAAATAGAGTGTGTGGGGTTCACGCGGCCGTGGCGGGGTGCGCCGGAAGCAAGGGGCAGGCGCGGAGCGCGTGGGCGGCGCCGGAGGGGCAGCAGCAGGCGATCTTCGTCGATGAGGCGGCGTGCATCGGTGGGTGTGGTATTATGGGTGTGATTATAATGGCCGTGACTGTAACTGGTGTGCTCCTATGCGTCTGTGCTGATTAAACAGTGGTTCTCTTCGCTCGCCACTTTCTTTCACCCCTTTCCTCTTTCCCCTGGTCCTGTCCTCCTCGCCCCTTTTCAGGTTGCTGCGAGTGCGCGTTTGCCTCCGTGCCAGCCGCACCTTCCTCTTTGACTCTTTGGCAGCCGTCGCACGGGTGATTGCCGATCGCGTTCCAAGTGTATTCTCCCCCCCCCTCCCCACCCCGTTTTCTTCTTTCCATTCCAGGTTGTCGCGAGTGTGTGTTTGCCGCCAGCTGCACCTTCCATTTTGACTCCGAAGCGGCGGTGGCGCGCGTGCACACGCAGTGGGGGGATGCACTGCCCGCCGTCCAATCGGCGATCGACAGCTGTCCCGTCAGCTGCATCCACACTGTGCCACGTGTCGACCTCCCCATCCTCGAGTTCCTCGTGCAGGTTACCTCTATTCTGCCCTCACCTCACCCTCACCTCACCCTCCCCTCACCCTCACCTCACCCTCCCCTTCCACTCCCCTTCCCATCAAACCCCTCTTTTTCAGCCCGCTTCCCCTCCCTTTTCCTTCCATTCCCACCACATTGAACCGCATTGAACCACGCATCTGTCACACCCGTTGCATCCCAACCCATTCCCCACCGTCCCTTGTGCCCCTCGCGTCACACCAACAGCCAAGGGAGAGGGAGAGCAAGGGCATCTTTGGAGGGGGTTGGGAGCCCGGGCACCCGCTAAATATTTTCGTGGCTGCCCGGGAGTTCAAGCGCAAGCTGGAGAGCCAGCAGGAGGGGGCAGAGCGCCGGCGGGCAGGTTGGTGCGGGCAGGGTAGAGAGGGGGCTGAATGTCTGCTGAACAACCTGCTGTAATTATCTCGTTTCGGGCTTGTTCTGTTACATGACTGTGTGTTACATGTCTTGCCATACGTTACATGGCGCTGGTTTGTTACATGTACTCCAGTGCTCTCCAAGGATCATTTCTACCAACCAACCCTACCGCTCCGCACCGCTCCTCCCGCTCTCCTGCAGCCACGTCAGCAGCAGAGCAGGAGACGCCAGCTCAGCGTGCAGCCCGGCAGGCAGCAGATGCGAGGATGAATGGACTGGGGGGAGGCTTCTGGCAGAAATGGGCGCAAGCATGGGGGGCGTGGGGGGGGCCTGGAGGGGAAGCAGGTGCGGATGGGCAAGGGGGCAGCACACAGTGGGGGCAGGCGAGTGCAGCAAGCAGTGACGCAAGCAGCAGCGGGTGTAGGAGGGAGGCAGGGAGAGGGAGGGGAGAGCGAGGCAGAAAGGAGGGAGGAGGAGGAGGGAAGGAGGGGTGGTTTCCTTGGCAGGCGATGCTGGGCACGGCTGCTTCTTCCGAGATACTCAGGCAGAGAGCCAATGACGGCGACAGGGAGGAGGTGAGAGGAGGGTGGGCGACAGGGGAGGAGGGGGATGATAACGACTCACGTCAAGTCTCACCCTCCCCCTTGATTACCACCAACAGTTGGTCTTCGTAGCCTCATTTGTCGAGCACATGGGCAAGCGATCCTAACCCCCCTTCGTTTCACATTCGTTGTTCCCTTTTACCCCCACGCCTTCTATCTTGCAGCTCATAGCCTTTATCCAACAGTGGGCGACCCTCTGGTCTTTTTCCTCCGAGCTGCCCCTTCCGCTGCCCATCCGCGTGGACAACCAATCAAACGGCACCGAGTTAACCCTGGTGACCATGCGAGGCGATCTGCTCTCGTCCGTCGGATCATTTGTCATCACTGTGGAGCCGTTGGATGCTGCTGCTAGTGGTGATGGTGGTGATGGCGGTGATGGCGGTGTTGAGGGTGCGGGGGAGATGGAGTGGGTGGTGGTGGTGAGGAGGCGGGGTGCAATTGACAACCGGTCACTACCAGGAGAGGGCACGATAGTGAAGGCGCTGAGAGGAGCGCTGGAGAGGCATGACAGCATGAAGGGGTACGAGGCGTACCACCTCCCCAGGAACAGCCGGCCTGAGTAGTTGCTGTTGGGGGGAGCCTAGCCAGAGCGTGGAACTGGTTGATATGAACACTCTAAACTAGATTGTATACGAAGCATTTATGTGTTCTAGGGGTGTGCAGAAACATGGTACCAGGTGGGAACTTGCAGATATCAGCATGCAATATCTCTACCCACAACACGAACCAGGTTTGCAGCACTAAATCATTGATGGAGCAGCAGGCTGGCTGGCTTCTAAAACTACTGGTTGTTGCCGGCTGCTTGTGCCACACTCCAGCATGCGGAGCAAGCAGAGAGGTGGGAGAACAAGACACTGGCAGAATGTTGCGCAACAGCAGCACCCGCCAGATCGGAGGACAACATGCCCAGCGGCATGGTAGCAGCCACAGCTGCTTCCATGACTACTAGTTATTGTTGGATGCTTGTACCAAGGCTTCCAGAAGGCGGCATATGGCGATGGGCGTATAAACGAGGCACTTGCAGCACGTCATGCAGCAGCAGCACCTGCCAGATAGGACGACAACAAGCACATCGGCATTGCAGCATCAGAACAGGGACATGCATCAGCCGCATGCATCAGCCGCACGCATCAGCAGCACGCACAGCAAAGAAGTAATGCAGCAGCCCCACAGGAACATGCGGCCACTGGCAGCAGCCAGTGCAAACAAGGTACCCTATTCGCAACAAGCAGGGGTGAGAGCAAGTGACAAGGCTGGACAAGCAACCGGCCCGAACGAGCGACGAAGCATAGT